TAAAACATGACTTCTAAGTAATTGCATAATTCTGATGAGGTTAATTTCCAAACGCTAATTTACCTGAAAATTGTAAACGAAAGATATAGTTGACCTCCATGCTCCAGTGCTCACTTTTTCGTTTTGTTTTGATGAAGTCACCTTGTCAAATTTTGGGCAAATTGCGTAAATTTCCATCAATTTAAAAACTCTAATCTAGTTCTCGCACGTAAAAGTCTTTGAAGTTAAAAGTAAAATTAAAGTCAAGGTAACATAATTCATGGCTATGACAACATCTAAATCAATTTATCTGAGATAACTCTGTGTTGCCGAGCGAACCAAGGTCAGAATAAGATTTTTTGCGAGTTAAATATTTCGATGTTTTTGACGAACATCCATTCGATATCGGATATCATTCCGAACCACAAATCAAAGTTACACAGGAACATCAAGAACCTTTGTACACAGAAGTTCAGCCTACAGCTACCACGATACCAATGCACCTACGAGAATAATGAACGGTTGAAATAGCTAAAATGCATTACTTTGGCCTTAAAACAACGCTGTCGCAATGAGATACAGTAGCCCATTTTTTGCTCATCGAAAACCATCAGGAAAACTACGTATGCTTATTGATCTAAGAAGAATTAATCTCTCGCTCAAGATTGATTATTTAAATACCATTTTTCTAAAGTTAAACATGATGGATACCTTAAAGCATTTCGCCGGAAAGAAGCTATTTACAAAGCTTGATTGTCGTAAGCATACCATTTTGTGCAACTGGCAGATGGTATCTCGTTTCAATTTTTGGCTTATAATTTTTCATCACGTACTTTTGACTATAAGTTTCTAGCTGAAGGTCTAAGTAAATCAATAACAGAATTTAGTTCGTTCATTCGTCATTACTCTAATTCATGCTTGGCAGTAGAAATGTAAACTTGGCTTACGACTGCACCAAACAGGAAATTAAATCAAGACACAATGGATTTGTACAAGATTTTTGGAACTGTATAGCGAGCTTCTGATAAAATTGAGGGCAATTTGCGAATTTATCAGAACATCACAAAGATCATGAAATGTTTAAACACGATCTTTTCTAAGCGACAACAAGTTAACACTAATTCTACCAAATTCTGACTTGCATAATGTAATTTTGTGTGATGCAATCTACCACAGTACGGGATTTGTTCTCATGAAGCATTGTGTAAATACTGAAAACAAAAGACGTATGTATCAGTTTTATTCGGATCAAGACTATTATAAGGAATTCCTTGCACTATACTTTGCTTTTGATCTTTTTTCACAATTCATCTAAGTTGCATCGAAACCCGTACTTATGTTGACGGTTAACAGAAGTCTAGCTGAATTCTTTCAACCAAAGTCGAAGCAACCATCAGTCTGGAATGTTCTAGACAGAGTCTAAGTTTTCAACATTTTCATATCGCATCTACCCGGCAAAGCAAACCATGCAATAGATTTTTGTCAGGCATGCAGACAAACGTGAGTGCTTCTCTGCTTTTGCGGTTGACAGACAAGATATCAGTGCAAGAAATACACATCGACGTGACGGTAAAAGTACCAAACGCAACGCTAAATTTTATCGAAGAAATACAGGAAGCATTCTGTGAACAAACTATGAGGACAAATGAACTTCGCCAACAGTTACAATCTGTTGGCATTTTCGAATTTCATATGCAGAAAGAAACCATGATACTTAATTCCGGGGAATTAGAAGCACAGACGCTTGTGCGCTTAACGAAACCAGTACTATCAGCAATCAAATAACCAGATCTAGAAGATGTTATTTCGGATTTTAAGAGAAAAATGAACCACTGCATTGGAAAACGGAACAAAGCAAAGATGCGCACATAAAGACGTGATAAAGTCGATATTTCTTAACAAAATGCAAGATTTTAATTACGTCAATAGCTAACAGAAAAAATATGTGAAGCAGTTCAATCGACTCGAAGTATAAAACCAAGTCTTCTACCGAAAATTTTTCGATGATACGGGTGAATATAATTATCAGCAATACTGTCTACCAAAACATATTTGACAGGATATTTTGTATCGCATTCAAAAATAGTCAAGTTTAGGACACCTTGATATGGAAAGATCAATAAAAGAATTCAAAGAGTTTTTTCTGAAGACTTAAAAGAACTTTCCCTGCATCTGATGAACAATTGTTTGACTTGCTCACATGTAAAGAAAGTCTTCTATAGGTATCAAACCCCTCCGTTGCAACCAGTCTCAATTTTGCAATCTTCTCCAGGCGACATCATGCTAGTTCTAATTGTTGGACCGTTTCGATCAACAGTGTATAAATTGTCCTTACTATAATAGATGCTTTTTTCAAGTATCTGCTTGCAGTACCACTGACAAATGTGTCAGCCAATACAATTGCACGGAAATTGAGGGAAAAATTCTTCACCCATGCCTGTATACCGAAACTGATGTTGTCAGATCTAGGAACGTCAATTACATTGAAACTAATGCACGAAACTCACATCACTTCTTGAAATCATAACTGTTGAGTCAGATTTCGTAATTTCAATGCAAGATGCAATGTTAGAGAAGTTCCAAGAAAATAAACAGAGTATCAATGGTTCATGCCAAGCATATCGCGGATTTTACGATCAGAAAGCATCAGCGCAACCGTAAATCTTCATTCCTTTTGTCAACTTCTTAATCCAAAAATAACAACGCTGTCAAATTTTTGAAATGAGTCCAAGTTTTTGAGGATACATTATTACAGAGCGGAAAAAGTTCGGACTTACTCAAGCTATCTCATTACAAAAGTTGGAACCACTTATACATAAATTGCATCGATATCGACTGAAGCCAATCACGCCTTCGCAAGAACTCGAAGACTTCGAGAATAGCGTTCCAGAATCATTAATGACTCTGATCCTTCGTTGGTATAGTTCCGCGAAGAACCAGAATTGTTTCATGGACGATTGCCTCAGTTAAGTTGTGCTACGTCTGCAACGCTTCGGAGCGCAAACATTGCCTCATATTTAACAACCAGCTACTGCTCATCTGACAGTGCTACTAGCTGTACATGTGGTACAGGCACCACCAGTAGTTTCTGCACCAATTCCAATAATAGTGCCACCGATACCAATCGTGGTCTCACCACATGTTGAATTGCAAGAAGATCCAGCAGAATAAGCTGATGATTAGAACGAAAATAAGGAAGCACAAGATGATATCCAGTTTTCAGACCCCGACGCACAGCGCATTGTTAACGCTCACGATAGATTTATTTCTGATTCACCCCGAAAATTAAAGACCACATCGACAGGTCGCGTTTGAAGCACGCGATAAAATTCATTCCCACCATGTACAGTTCAACAATGTTTTCAATGGCGAAAAATTTTACCGGCACTTTGAATAGTTCGCCGATACGGCATGCGCACGATTGAAATGCATATTTTTTGAAATGAATAATTTACACATAATGTGGCTTTATGCTTTGCGATTTGTTACAAAGTTCGCAAAGTTAGTTGGGATGCCTTCAGATTGTAACATTCGAAATTAATAATTGCAAAATTGAGTCTATTTGTATTTGGTGCTGAATCGCATTGGCAATTTAGCATATGTAGCTGCTTTATTCGTGACAAATTTTTGAAATGAGTCCAAGTTTTTGAGGATACATTATTACAGAGCGGAAAAAGTTCGGACTTACTCAAGCTATCTCATTACAAAAGTTGGAACCACTTATACATAAATTGCATCGATATCGACTGAAGCCAATCACGCCTTCGCAAGAACTCGAAGACTTCGAGAATAGCGTTCCAGAATCATTAATGACTCTGATCCTTCGTTGGTATAGTTCCGCGAAGAACCAGAATTGTTTCATGGACGATTGCCTCAGTTAAGTTGTGCTACGTCTGCAACGCTTCGGAGCGCAAACATTGCCTCATATTTAACAACCAGCTACTGCTCATCTGACAGTGCTACTAGCTGTACATGTGGTACAGGCACCACCAGTAGTTTCTGCACCAATTCCAATAATAGTGCCACCGATACCAATCGTGGTCTCACCACATGTTGAATTGCAAGAAGATCCAGCAGAATAAGCTGATGATTAGAACGAAAATAAGGAAGCACAAGATGATATCCAGTTTTCAGACCCCGACGCACAGCGCATTGTTAACGCTCACGATAGATTTATTTCTGATTCACCCCGAAAATTAAAGACCACATCGACAGGTCGCGTTTGAAGCACGCGATAAAATTCATTCCCACCATGTACAGTTCAACAATGTTTTCAATGGCGAAAAATTTTACCGGCACTTTGAATAGTTCGCCGATACGGCATGCGCACGATTGAAATGCATATTTTTTGAAATGAATAATTTACACATAATGTGGCTTTATGCTTTGCGATTTGTTACAAAGTTCGCAAAGTTAGTTGGGATGCCTTCAGATTGTAACATTCGAAATTAATAATTGCAAAATTGAGTCTATTTGTATTTGGTGCTGAATCGCATTGGCAATTTAGCATATGTAGCTGCTTTATTCGTGACTATTGTTTGTCGTTCGTTTGTTAGGCTGAGGGGATAGTGCGTGAGACTAAAAATCTCTTGGTTGTAGGGTCAAATTCTACATTTAGCCGAGTTTTTGCTAATTCTAGACTTATTTCTTCTTTTTCTTATTTAACTTGATAGAGCCGCGTTTTGGGTCTTGCTCTCGCAAGTGTTTGCGAAGCACAGCTTTGCCTCTGTGTTTATTGTTAGATTGTGATTCTAGTACTCGTGATTCAAATGCCCAAATTATTGAAGTTGGGCTTTCTAATCTAAACTAATTGAAAAGTGGGTAATATCGGGGATAGTTAATTGAAGTAAATAAACTGAAATATTGAATAACTATTTCATCTGTCTTACAACCTGTTTTTCCATTGCTTTTTTTTCTCAAACATGGCAACTTTTTTGCCAAATTGATGGATCATTCTGTGTTGTAACAGCAACCGAAGACCGACTAATAATTTCTGAATATTTAGTGTTTGCTGCTTTTAGACTGCGGCACAATGTCTCGCCAAGTATCATTGGAAGATTATGTTCGAGCAGAGCGGGATCGAGTGGCCGGAACATCCCGTGGATTCAGTGGACAGGGAATCGGTCAGGACTCCCAAGACATGCTGGGGATGTTTATTCGAGGCGAAAGAAGGCGGACTGAGTCTTCTGAGGTGTCTAGTTATGATCGTCGCGATGTCTCTATTGAAAGACATTTGGTTCATCAGCCCGTTCATATTCCTCAACAGGGCCTGGAAATGTTCCAAAGAGAACCACTGCGAAGAGGTGATGAAAAACCAGAGATTGAAGTGAAGTTGTCAGAAATATATCAAAAAGCGAGTAGAGATCAAAGTTTGAACTCGGCGCAGCGAATTGATTCACTTGTACGAGGGGTGAAGTTGGAGCTATCCAGAATCGGAATGCGACCAGAAGAGATCCGAAAGCAACTTACTGACCATGTGGAGCGTTTGATTAAAGAGAAACGCTGGACTCTGACGTACTCGGAGGCATTAGAAGAAGGCACGATGGCAAATGAATCCGAACTCACTCTGAAAGATGACTCTCCGTTTTACTGCAGCTTCTGTGAGCTGAAGTATCATCCTGCTGGTATTAAATGTAAAATTTGTCACTCTGAGTTCCTTCTGAGAATCGACTTGGAGGCGCATGTTTTCGTGGACCACAAAATTACTGTTGACGGTGCTTTTCAATGTCCCTATTGCTATGAATCGTTTCCAGGGGACCCAAAGATGTTCCGAGATCACATCTATACTCGCCATTTTTGTGCTGACGATCATTTAGAATGTCCATATGGCTGCAAAATGCTGGTTCTCAAATCGATTCCGTCTGAAAAGCATTACAAAACGTACCACATGTGTGTTGTGTGTGGAGACAAAATCAGCCGCGATACGAAGTACCATATGGATAGATTTCATGCCGAGAAAGATGAAGTACAAATTTTGGATGTAAAACCGTCATCAAGTTTCCAAGGAGAATCTCGTATGAGATCATCGCAGGACGATTTGATTAAACGTGCCAAAGAAGTTTTAGATGGAACCCAAATTAATTCGGATGATAGTAATCGAAGACTAGTTCCTAACAATTGGAACAGAAATCGTATAGAGGAGCTTATGCCCCCTGCAATTGCTATGCCAGTGTCAACGCAGCATATTAGATGTCCTCAGTCAAATGATTTTTACAGTGAAAATGAAATAAATCGACCGAGAAAGTCTGCAGTGACGGAATTCTATCAAGAGGTATCTAGACCGTTGTCGGCAAAGAATGAATCGGTTGCCCGGACTGAAAAATCCAAGTCAGTTGCTTTTGAAAACTTTGACATGGAAAAAGAAGCGCTGAACTGGAAAATCTGCAAAGATTGTGGCCTGAAAACGCCTAGTGGCGGATACGTTTGCCAATTATGTAACGAAAAAGGATTCCAGTATAAAGTGGAACTAAACGTTCATATCAAAAACGCACATGGCTATCCGACGCCCTCATTTGAACTGAATTGTGAAATATGTCGTGCAATTGCCCCTAGTAACGAGGAGTTAATGAGGCATATATTCGCAACCACGCATCGATGTAAAAGTGATCATCTGGTTTGCCCCGAGGACCCTAAATGTACCTTCTTTCTAAGCGATGAAGCTGATCTTGAGCGTCATTTAAATGAAGTGCACAATAAAAAGAAGCAGCCCGAACCACTCGTTGTAAGGGCAGATCTTATTGAAATATCTCCCGAGAGGGACCCAAACTACTCGTTCGAACTGGCCCCGAGAATAAAAAATGAGAGCATGCAGTCGGTTTTGAATATTTCAAAAACACGAAACAAGCATGCGAAAATATCAGTCGATTTTCCTCCAGAATCTGTGCTTGAACAAATGGAACCTAGGAGAAGACTCGAACTTGTAGACGCTGGGTTCTTGTATTGTGCAAAGTGCCCATTAATGTACCACCCGACGTTGTCCGGATGTGGGCGGTGTACTTTGAAGTTTATTTTCCCTCAAGCGGTGATGGAACACATGGTTAATGTCCATGATGTTCCGGAGATTTACTCGGAAAAGCGATGCCCTTTTTGTAGAGAGTTTTCATCTTCCTATACTGACTTTCTAAACCACATTGTGGGTCATTTTTGTGACGAACATTCGGAGTGCGAGTTTGGATGCACAAAACTCGTTGTTGGGGGTCCAAAGGATGTAGTGAAGCATGCATTGGACTTCCACAGCTCAGATTCTCCGGCTAAACCAGTTCCGGACACTGCTAAAGAGTTGTTCAAATCGCTCAAAGAGCCTACTGCGAAACGGAAACCCAAAATAGTGCCAATGGGTGAAAATGAAGCGGTTAAATCGAAAGCGATACAAATGTGCTTAGACTGCAATTATCAGCCGGGTCTAAACGAAACGCCGCTTACATGTTCGCGTTGTCCGGGTAGAACGTTGTATGCATTCGCTTCGAAAGGAGATTTGATGATACACGAGGAGCTTGTTCATTCAATCAAAGCTTCGGAATCAGATAAAGTGCTATGTAGTTTTTGTTCAGCAGAGTCTGGCAAAAAGGGATCAAATCGGAAATTCAACGGAGATGGTTTGAACCAGCATAGAAAACAGACTCACAGCTGCTGCCCACGCGAGCATTTCAGATGCAAGCAGTGTCAAATTATTGTACCGCATCACAAACAAACGTTGCATATGGTCCAGAAACACGGAAAAAGCGATTCATCGTCGAGTTTGGTGAAAATAGCGAAGCCGCCACCAGGACCTGAAATCGTAGATGATGATAACGGAAATGCCGACGATGATACAAAAGGCGGAAATATGAACAAACGACTGGAATGCACTGAAAGGGGATGGAAGCACTGTAAGTTCTGCCCGTACTCAATTTGTTATTCGATCACATACACGTGTCAGGTGTGTGAACTAACGTACTTCACTGAAGTTGATCTTGACTTTCATCTGGCAACTATGCATAATGATGATTCTATTGAATCGTTCGTCTGTTCTTGTGGTTATACAACCAAGAAATTTTCACTATGGAACGATCATAGGAAAGAGGAACATGGTACATGCGCTGAGCATATTGCGTGTCGCAATAAAAAGTGTACGTGGCTGTTTCCTAATAAAAAGGAGTTGTTGCATCATTATCAAATGAATGCGTGCAAAATTGATAGTCAAAATTTGATCACGGCAACTGCGCGACAATGCAGTGCGTGCAAGGCGGTAGTAGCTAACGAATCTTTCGTGTCTTGTTTGTTGTGTACACCGTTGCAAAAGTACTTCCCAACTGTAACGGATTTTGCGACGCATTTGAACCTGGCTCATAAAAGGTTCATCACGGGTACCTTTAAATGTCCAGTTTGCCCCAAAGTATCTCTTGACGTTGGTGGTTTGAAGAAACATTTGACTTCTGATCATGCCTTCTGCAGTTCTGGCCATGCGCTCTGTGCTAAGCGAAGTGACTGTTCAGTGCTATTACAAGACTCAGCAGTGAATATAATAACACATGCATGTGTTCCGCTTAAGGCAGAGCAGTCCTCGAAAATTTTCAAAGTATTGGGAGCTAAAGGCACCAAGGGGTGCTACAGGTGCGTAAAGTGTCATCTAGGTTTTGACGAAATCACGATCTTGGAATGCCCCGAGTGTCCAATAACTTTCCTATCAAGAATCGAACTAGCGGGCCACTTGAAAATCGATCACGATAAAGCATGTGCCAGTGCTTTTCCGTGTTCGTTCTGCAATTCAAGTTTCCCAGGGCTACCTGATAAATTGCTTCTGCATCGATTGAATGTACATCAGCATTGTCCATTTCACAAGTACGAGTTTGGACGAATATCGATACTAAATGCGACTGTGCAACCGAAAGCTCTCGCTGAGGGCTTGCGAAAAGCCGATGTAAAAATGTATGTGTGTCCGACTTGTAACCGTGACGTGAGGTCTTTCGACAAATTACACCCACCAAGACAGTGTCCGATTTGTCCTTTCAATCCTGGATTTTATGCTGAATCGGAGTTTGTAGTCCACATGCAAAGTGCTCATAAGTTGCTAATGAATCTCAGCGTAGAAAGTGTCAAATGTTACCAAGGAAAATGTGCATTTATCGCCGGATCGGCTCTCGATTTTGTTGATCACCGAGCGAAAGCTCACCAAATGTGTATAACGCATTTAGTCTGCCCCATGTATTACTGCAGACGAGTTTTCCCAAGCTTGCAGTTATTTTTGAACCATATAGTTTCTTGTGATGGAGTTAAACCAAAGGTAATTTTAGACGGACATACTCAACTGAAGGCACTGGAAGGTACTTTTGAAATGATTGTACGACCATTCTTCCATTATAAATGCGACAAATGTCCATTTAATATCGCAACTTCGCTGTTCTTTAAATGCAAGCTATGTGAAAATGACGACCATCACAACACAATCATGCCATTCTTCGTTGGACAAATGTTTCTTTTACATCTTATAAATCGTCACTCATTTGTGGAACCTAAGGAGCAGTTTCAATGTCAATATTGCTCATTGGTAACTTTTTCTGGATCCTTGGTAGAACTGAAAGACCACATGAAGAATTCGCATAACATATGCGTCCGACATTTCCTATGTGGAGGAAACTGTCTCACTTTGTACCCTAGAATGAGAAAGTTTCAAACTGGTCACAAGGACAAAACCAAATGTGGAAAATATCCGATCCAATTGTTCGAGAACGCTCAGTTCAGTTTCGACATAGTCACAACTTGTGACGAGTTAAGTGAGAGTGTATTCAAAACACGGCAGAGATTGAATAAATTTAAAAGCTTCACGGGAATGCCAGCTTTAACTGATGCGCGAGGAAACACGACCTTGAAGTCAATTTTTACGGCAACTGCGAGCATGCTGCCGACAGAGTTGCTAGAAGAGACGAAGCAAAAACTGAAACAAGAGCTAGTGAGAGATAAGAAACGTCAGGAAAAGAAAGCTAATCAGATCGGAAAGCTACCCGAAAGATCTAGAACCCCGTCCAGGAGACGATCCAGAACTCCTAAGCGAAGATCAAGGTCACGATCTAGTTCTAGATTAAGAATAAGAAAGGGAAGGCGTTCTAGGTCAAAATCTCGAAGTTTATCACGACGCCGACGACCTCTTAGTCGAAGTAGATCATCTTCCCGACGTCGTAGACGAAAAGCGTCAAAAAGTAAATCGAGATCCAGAAAGAGATCACGCTCCAGATCTCTTTCTTCTCCTAGGCGTCGCCGGCGACGTCTACCATCTAAATCGCGATCGATCTCAAAACCAAGAGATGAGTGGAACCGCAAAAGGTCCAAATCACGCTCAAGTTCCAAAAGTAGACGAAGATCAAGATCAGATTCAAAGGAACGAAGAAGTATAACCCAAAGAGTTATTAGCAACTCACCCAAACGATCGAGAACGTTTACGTCGAAACCTGGAGATGAGAAACCTAAAGAGACGAAAGTTAAGATCGCATCAGCAGGTGATGGCGTTGAGTCTAAATCACTGTCGACGCTAATGAATGAGTATTCAGAACCACACTCGTTGTCGACACTAGCTGCTAGTTATAGTAAAGATAAATCGCCACCAGGTGGAATTGACGGCTCACAGATTACTCTTGAAGAAGCCGAAAAGGATTTCGAAGAGAATGTTGAAATCCAAGACAACGATCCTGCTAGACCGTCTCAATGGGAAGATGTTATGTCAAACATGCTGAATTACACAGATGAGTTGATGGTTAGAAATTCAGATGTGGTTTCACAAGGGAATGAAGTGTCCGACGAGGAGGGTGCGTTTCAAATCGAAGATCGTGATGTTAACTTCGAATTTGAGGGTGATAATTTTTTGATGGATGTTCGCAACGAAATGGAGTCAGCCGACGAAGAGAACTATGATGAGTCTTATTTCGAAGTCGGAGTAGATGAAGATGAGCTGCTTCTAGATGACACGGAACTAGATGGAGAGTTGTAATTCAGATGCAATTAATAGGAGAAACTTATAATTTTGATGTTTGAAATATTTTCAAATTGTTGACTTTACTTGATTCTTTGAATTTCAAAAATAAGCTATAATAGATATAAAACAGCGCATGGTTGTTAAAATTATTATAGCTCTCGGATGGATTACCTACATGTCGTACCTTCGTGCAGATTAATGCATGTCGCTTTCCCGTGCTATATGATATTAACTCATTATTAATTGTCTAATTATGTTTAGCAATTCAATCTTTCTGTAAGTGAATTTTTGCTTTAGAATGAATAGACTGAGATGAATCAGTTTTGTTGCCATTATTCTTATCTACAGGGTTGAGAAGGAACTTTGGTGGGCTTTGTTTTTCGGCGCAGATACCCATAAATAACATTCGGAGTGATTCAGTCCTTTGCATTTGTAATTCAGATAGTTCAAGAAGTTTAAAAATAAAAAAAATATATCTTTTATGCAACTGCATTATTTGAAGTTCTGAAAGCTGCGTGACAGGAGTTTTAATCCAAAAGAATAAAGTTTGTAAAGAGTCTATTGGTTGCAATCAATAACTTCTTTTTTGTACCATTATTTCGAAATGGGCGTTCTACTTTCTCTCGATTCGATTTTCAAAAAGGAAACACTTTGTTGGCGTGTTCGCAGTTTATCTAAATAAGCTGAGCATAAGCAGGAATCGTAGTGGTATGTTGTGTTCTGAACCCACTTTTTTGAGTGTCAAATTTGCATATCCAAATGATAATGATTTTATTGGCTTGCAGCATGCAGCATAATGCTAGGACGCATTTTCTAAGCTGGATTAATAAAGAAATTAGTGACAAAGTGAATTTTTGCTCATATATGAAGTGCTGGTTTTGATTTTTTTTTCAATAAAAAGTCAATTGTTTTTGCGGTTGTAATTTTGAATCGTTTTTAATGCTAACATATGGTGTGAAGAAGATTTATGTCTCGCTCGAAAGAAGATTTATTTCTCAAGTTATGAATTGATAATACTTAAAGATATTAACAATTCATTATCTTAAAAGGAAAAAGGCAGCCCTTGAATCTATTTAAACGGCTGCCCTGTAATCCGAACCTTTTTAAACGGCTACCCTGTAAACCCAAGATGTTCAAAACATTTTATGAATCCGAAAATTAATGGTATTTTCCACAGCAAATCAATAAGATTCAAAAACACCTATTAGATGTATCAAAATTAATATTCGAAGAAAATCGAATATTCCTGCCGGCATTAACTAGCCGCAATAAACATTGGCTAGGCTTGGTAGCATTTTCAGCTCTGCACAGAGAGCATCGGGAATAGCGTGACAAAAAGTACCTGACTTTAAAATGCAAAAATGAATTTTAATTTGTAGAATTCCGAGCGAAATGTTCATGAAAATTTTAAATCAGTGGTGCAATGGCTACAGCGTTAGCGACAGCATTGACCAAGTTTCTTTTAAATAACCAAGTAGGTAAATAGATGATTGACGAGTGTAGAAAAATACCGCCAAAGGCTAGCTGTTACGCTTGTGATTATGGTCAAGTTAAATGGCTTGACAAAATCATAGAATAATTTATGCCTGATCAATTTTTTGAAAATTCAAAATAAAATACTGGCCAAAATAACTACTAACTACTGCTTAATGCCATATCTGCAGTTCTAAAAATTGTATATATTTTTAGAAACTGATGTAATTTTTGATTCTCATTTCTCGGATTCATGATTTTCGACTTGAGTTCAGTCGGTTTAGTTATAAAATTTTGTATACAACTTTGCATAATACTTATACGGCACTCGTCGATCTTATGTAGGCGGTTGATGCAGTCTTTTGAAATTGATTTTTTGCCGAAATTTTTTGGTTGGTTTTCGCTACGACTTTAAAAAGTTTTATTTGATAAAAATTTTAATGCAAAATCAATAGTCAGATGCGAGAGACTAATTGAAAAGCTGTTTTACATTCAGTTTTTTTTTTCATTACGGAATTTAAACAGCTTTTTTTTCCTTTTTGCTTCTGATTATTGATTTTGCAAAAAAGTTCATAGCAAATGAGTGCTGTTCATCTACACTTAGGTTCTCATTTCAGTGATGCGAAAGGTGTTGAATTTATTGTGAAATTTTTTTTAGTTCTGTATATTTGCCAAATCATGCGAAGCTCAGCTTCACCTCTGTTTACTCATGCAATAAGCAAGTTTGTTGCAACCCTTTACAATTTTTCCCCATAATTAACTTAGTTCACAGAAATAGCACGTAAAAAATTTTACACTTAATTCACTTGCTTCACTAATGAATTAAACTCAAGAAACACTCGCGCATTTGGCGCAGTGGTTACATCTATGCCCAGGGGACGATAACCGCGTGTTTGATTCTAGTCGGGGCCCGTTGTTTTTCGCAAACAGAGAATTTTTGACTTTCTTAGACAAGCGTTTGTCTGCTTATTTCTGTCGGCTAAGTTTTGATAGAAAGTGCTTTTTGAAGTTTCAGCTGCTTTAAGGCTTTCCAAATGCTCATTTGTTTATATTTGTCTGCTGGTGCAACTAGTTTTCTTCCAGGATGTTTTTGGCTTTCTTTGCGCAAGTTTTTCAAATTTTTCTGAAAAAACGTTCTTATGAAGGCTTTTGAATTGTCTTTTCATTTGATTTTTATCCCAGTTATTCATTTGTATCTTAGGTGGCGCGAAGCTCGGAATCACCTCTGTGTAAAAACGTAAATTTGATTTTTTTTTACTTTGACAGCGAGACAGAAATCAGTTGCCGATTATCGAATATCAATGATATTGCACTTTATTTGAGCTCTTATACAATTGAATTTATTTTTCGGATGCTTGTTGTTAGTCCTTCCGACGTCCCCTGGTGTTATTGAAAACGGAGATTACAAACTTTAATTCAAAGTTAATTCGCCTGGTTTTGGTGGCTGAATATAATTTTTGTGTTCTCAATCAGTATTGACAAGATTAGCATCTAACATACCATGAGCTTTACTTTACATCACGCTATTTATAAATATCAACATCACGTCACTAATCAAAGTTCAATGTCTTTACTTACGAAGGTGAATGTTAAAGTTCATGTATGTTACACCGATCTAGAATTAAGTTAGTTCAACAGGTCCAGCACTAGACGTTTTAGTGTTCCGACCATTTTTGTAGTTCCGACCCATGTAGTTTAGTTTTTCTTTTCCACGCTTAATCAGGTATCACAAATAGTCATCGGAATGTGTGGAGTGATTTACCACTTTTAAGCATATTTCAGCCGTGATTCGAATGACCTCAATAAAATTCAAAAAGTTCTCCCAGTGTCCAGAAAAACTGGTCTAAAATTTTTGAGTTTCAGCTTCGAGCGAGTAAAGCGAGCGAGCAGGCTATTTCTAGAAGGATTAGCCGTGAACCTTAAGTTTTTCTCCAGTAAGAAATTTCGAAATTTTGTAAGCCCCATCTTGGGTATGAAAACTTCGAAATTTCAAAAAAAGTATGTTTGTCCAAAATGTTCAAGTTATTGGTTTTCCTTTAGATCCTTTTCTCTTACCATACACAAACAACGACACTAATTTGAAAAAAAAACTTTGAATTAGTGATCGTTAGCGATTGTGCTTAGCAGATATTTTCCGCGATAGCCAGTTGCCAGTATTAGAATCAGTTTAGCGATTTAGCTTTTAGTCAACTTTTTTTATAAGCCATCACACTTCTTCTGTTGACTCTTGTGTTCTCACATTGGGTTACCCTTATTTGAAATGTATCAGTCCTGGATGTTTTTCTAATAAAAGATCTTTAAGTTCTTTTAGTTTCATCTACGAAATAGTAAGTAATGCAAAATTTAGAGAAAAATCAATAAGTTTATGGAGTTTTTCGCTTTCTCCGATTTTCCGATTGTAAAAATTAGTTTTTTTTATTTAACTTGCTTTCTCCGATGTAAAAATTTGCTTTTTTAAAATTTAACTCATCTACCTCATAATTGTCGAAAAGTTCTGTGGAATTTGCTCAGCATTTGGCTATGCTTGTTGTTCCTAATATTGAAAAGGGGAAGGAATTCTGTCTCTGGGTGTGTTTTACAAATTTATAAAACTTTTTCCACAAATGCATCGAGTAATACAACCTGTTAAACCGCTGTTTAAAATGACATTTTAAATTTTGCAACATTTGTTTTCAGTGTCGAATTTTTGTTTTTACTCTAATTTCGAGCGAGTTATGTTTGTTACATGAAAATCGATTGTTCAAACTATGAACACTTTGTTTTACCAAAGGAAATTTAGTGATCATAGATTTATGTGGCGCTTTTCTAGCACTTTAAAATCAAAAGGAATACAAGCGGAAAAAATTGAAGTTCTTGGAAACGTGTTTTTTTTCCGTTTTGTTATCGTTTTTTGAAAGACAACTGTTGGTATTTAAGACCAATGCTATTGATCTAAACGTTCTTTTATATTCTCTCCCCAGACAGCGCGCAGAAAAAAAAACAGCCAAAAAGAAAAAAGTAATTTCATTTTTTTTAAATAACTGGATGAAAAATATTTTGCGCTGCTTGCTCAGCAACCAGCTACTCTTGTTTATCTGACCATTAAAATTGGAGAGTAACTTAGTATTTGCGCGCGTTTTTTTTAAAACTTTTCTTACAAAAAATTAAAATAAACTTCGAAGTGTCGAGAAAAACCTGTTTGAAATTTTTGATTTAATTTCGAGCAAATAAATTAAGGAAACAGGGTTACCAAAGCTTATTTTAGCTTAGATTAGGCCGTGAAAACTTCGTTTTATACGAGTTAACTAGGTTTTTGGAGTTTTTCTAGCGCCATTTTGGGAATCAAAAAATTCTATCTACGAAAACAACGGTTGTCTAATTTGCCTATTTTACTATAACTGTCAAATATACTTTAGTGTAAGTTTGTTGTGCAGATTGTTGCTTCACACCACAATTTTTCACCATTTGATGAAAAGTTTCAATTTTTTTAAGCCTGTGGTCGGAACATTCTGTGCTACTGGCACAGTTACCGGCTATTCTTGTTATATCATGCATTTAGCTAAAAACTTAGCCAAATTCATATATTTTCTTCATTACAGAATAATGAATTGAGGTAGATGCGCGAAAATTGTTTCGATCAGTGTCTCCAGTCCACGTCCTGCCTGTTTCTTTTCCATTCATCTTAACCGGAGGTGGTCAAAATGGATCCGGCAGCAATTGACCATGCCCTCCTGGATCAGCTGGTAGTGGACACTTACATCAACATTTATTATGCTCCCATGAACAAATGGTAAATCTATCATTGCAAAATGTTAATACCCAGATTAATTGAAGTTGGTTACGGATTAAAAGATGGGAGATATATTACAAAAGGTGGTAGGTTCATTTTCAATATTTGGATCGCTGTTTTTTTATACTTTGCACATAATTTATAATTTTTTCAAAAGCCAGTTTTTTGGCAAAAGAAGTCTAAAATTTTAATTTTTGAAAAACATTTCATTTGGCAGAGTAATATATTTACAAAAACTAGTGAAAATGAAATGACAATGATTGAAAATGAAATGACTGTATTATTACCCTTGCGATAGCAAGGGTATTGCAATCGGGTACTAGGTTTTTTTTCCCGTAAACAACTTTGTCCACAGGACTCATCTCTAGTGTACTTCTGGACCCATCTTTAGAGGTGCCTTCTGAATTTTCTCGGCCCGCTTCAAATTCTTGGCGTTCCCGGCCCACTTAGCCTGGAGATAACCAATTCAGAACACACAAAACACTTTATTTGCTCGTCAAATGAACCAATATGAGGCATCTAGGCCGATATAATAAAGGCCGAAACCAATTAAGACAAAAATAGGAAAATAAAAAAGCCGTAAATAAATTCAAAAACTGTGTCTGTGTGTTTTGAGACTGAGGGAGTCTTAATGATTTTTTATTAGACTTAAAATTTTTGAATTTATTTACGGCTCTTTTTTATTTTCCTTTTTTGTCTTAATTGGTTTCGGCATTTAGTATATCGGCTTAGTGGCCTCATATTGGTTCATTTGACGTTGATAAGTTATAAGTCTCGTTGATTTTTTTTTCGGCTTAAAGGGTTTTTCTAAGGTGTTTTCGGCTTTGTTACCGCTTGGTAAATTTTCGTTCTATGCTAAATTCACATTCTATTGCCTTGTATAATTGCTGTCTCGATCGCAAGTGGTGCGTAGCTCAGCTTTTCCCGTGTTCATTATAGTTCTTAAATTTAATACCTGCTCTATACTCAAAATTACCACCTATTGTAACATATCACCATAGATGGGTACCGTGAACATGTGGTTCTGAGCATGACCATGTTTTATGTTTCAAGAATAACATATCTAAGATCAAAGTACAACCCTCCTCTACTAATGAGAACCATGATTAAAAAGTGTAAAGAGAAGCTCTATCAAAATATTTAGATATTCCTGACGCCGTTCACCAATTCAGTGTGTTCTCTAGGTTCCCGGCAAAAGTGCTGCGAATAGATTCTAAATCCGGCCAAGTGTATGTGCACTACAAAGGATGGAAGGCCAGATTCGACGAATGGATCCCGGTGCAATCGGAACTGGTGAGGCAAATATCGACAGGGGGAGGCACCTCTAAATTGCCATCTTCAGATAGCAAGAAAAGGGAGGGGGAGAATGATGATTTCATAGATGTGGCCGTGCTGCAGAAGAAATCCAAACATGAACAGTCTACGGTAAGGCGATACAATTCATCAAGAAAGACAAGTGATCAGATTTTTTTTGCAATGATCTGGAGTTTTGACTGTCTAGTTCATGTGAACAATTTTTGTGTTGTCAACTTGTTTAGATCTGTGACGCACGAAGATATTTTTTGATTTTTCTATAGATGTTTTAGTAAATCGTGATATTTCGCTCCGAAGCTAAAGAAACGCTTTAAGCCGGTATAATTATTTCGGATTTTAGTGTCATAATTTACGGGTGTATATATTCTGCAGCCAATCAAGAAAGCAAATCTTGTTATTGAATATAACATTGGAAAGCGAAAGGTAAGTTGCAATCGCAATATACGAAATAGTTCGTGCTTTCAGTTTCATTCGTTGTTTGTCGGCTCGTCTTCATGAAATAACGTGAATCTTCTTTTCTATGTTCTTAAAAATGGTTTCTGACTTTCTTTTTCAATTAGTAGATTCAGGCGCAGATCTTCTCGAGGGAGGGGTGGACTTAAAAAAATAAATAAGTCGACCAAACTGATTTACTGAGCTCTCACAAAACACTATAAATACCTAATTTTGAGAAAAAAGGCAACCCCTTAAACTTAGTATATATTGGCGCCAAAGGCGCTATTAGAAGAATTTTAGGGTTGATCATCTGAAAATGGTTGTCGTAAAATAGTATCAAAGGGGGACCCTTTGAGTGTTCAGGTGTCGAGTTTCTGAGAAAGCGGCGTCCCCTCTAAATACGTTTCTGAATAGGTTAAAGATCATCTTCGTCTCAAGTTTACATTTAAGTTTAAGTTTCATTTCTGATTTGATTCTCTGTGTTTTATCTTCCAATTGTAGAGTAGTTTTAGTTGAATTGATTATTTAATGCTCACGTACTGTTTGTCAAAACTTCCACCTTCTGGAGAACAATCCAGTTTCTTCAGAATGGTTGCAGTTGGTCCTTTCAATGTTGAGTGTGAAATAAATGCTCTGTTTTAATTGATTTGAAAAAGTTAAGAAGAAATTTTTTTTGGATATCTAATAATATTTGTTTGGTAATACTAAGTGCGAAAAGATGTCAACTTTTTTTGTAGAGTTCAAATGTATCTGGAGGATCGGCGGAGATGCAGAAATATGCGACTGGTCAGATGCTGCTGGGACAGTGGAAAGATGGGCACAAATATGTATGCTTCATCCAGTCACAATCCAACACGGATAAAGGTCATTTATGTATTGTTTTTTTTTTTGGAAAAGAGCCCATTTACTCATTAAGGTTTATGAATATTCAGATTTGCTCACAGTAAATAAGTGCGCAAAATTTGCGCTCGTTTGTAACTGATTTTTTCTGTCGCCATAGACAAGATCAGAGTAGGATTTAGGATTATCTCGAGGAAGGGCGGATTTTCAAATGGAAAACGAAATTTTTGTCGACGTTTTTTTTTAGGTCGATCATATTGATTTTCCGAGATGTTTCCAAAACACTAAAACGACTTTGTTTTGGTCAATTTTTTTACGCTGCAGGAGTTGCTTTTGAGAAAACAGGCTAAAAGAACGCGCGCAATTTTAGGAACTTTTGAAAAAATTTTATCAGCCAGCCAAAAATGGAGGTTTGAAGCAGTACCAAAGAGAGAAAGCCTGTGGGTAGTCAAAAGGTTGAATGCAACCCCCCGTACCCTCCTAAATGCGCCACTGGACAAGATGCTCCGGAGTGTCCTTAGAGTTCTGCTTACTTGTTTCAGGCTTGTACCATGTGAAGTTCTACGATGGCTCCAAGGGGGCAGTACCTGCTCACAAGCTGAGTCCCGTCACTCCAATCGCATTGAAAGAGGTGTGATGTAAATCTTGCTTATACTTAAACATTAATCAGCTATGAAAATATAAGCGCTGACTAGACGCATAAAAGTAAAACTGGTTATTGGTTAAATTTTTTGCAAGATCAGTTTTTGTTCAGCAGTCGTCAATAAATTTTGTTTTATGTTTTCTTAAGTATGAGCAGTGGAAGTGGGAAGAGGAGCAGATGAAGGAGTACAGGAAGAAAACAGGCAAGCGAGTGAAGACTTACTCGGAGTTGATGCAACTCATGAAGACGACAATTGCAGATACTGCACAACCTGCATTGACTCCTTCGAAGCTTGGTAATAATTTGGGATCGATTTACTCAGGCCATAAAAATAATTGAACATAACCACATGAACAATTAAATGCAGGATCTCACCATAACCACATGAACAATTAAATGCAGGGCTAAATGCAGGGTCTCATTCCCATAACTGAAATAGGCAAATTGGAAAACACTCTTTGTAGAAAAATGACTAAGAACGAAAAAAAATTCGTGAAAAAACAAACAAAATTTTTCGAATTTTTGAAGTTTTTGATTCCCAAAATAGCGCTGAAAAAACTCCAAAAACTATAAGTTTTCACAGCTTAAAGTAATCATATATAGGCTGTTGCAAGTCTGCTCGCTCACCTTATTCTCTCGAAATGAGACCAAAAATCAAAAATGTTAAACGGGTTTATCTCGGCACTGAGAACATTTTTTCTAAATTTTAACTGTTCGAATCATGACTGAAAAGGCTTTAATATGATATATCACTAGACCCATTCCGAATCACCCAAACTAAATCACACCCTAGTACAAAGTTCCTCCCCATTTTCAATGGTCGTAAAAACAAAGAATTGTTGGGAAACTGAGTAGATAGTGACTCTTTTTAGATACTGCATCATCGCTTGCCTCAGATTTAACAGACACCTTAAATCTGTCAAGCGGAGACTTGGCTTCCTCGCTATCACTTAGCAAGGACAGTGAAGATGGTTCATTCGTGTGTGAAGAGCCAGATTGTGGCAAGAAGTTTCGAAAAGCCACTCTATTACTGCACCACACCAAACATTACCACAAGCACTCGTCTCTCTTGGTAGACGAAGAAGTTTCCAAGTCTTGCTCTGCGGATGTGTTGGCAGGACGACTGAAGGAGGAGAGGTCGGTGGGAGATTTATCAGTGAGCAGGAAAAAGATACAGTCGAAGCAAGGTAAGAATAAGAGGGAGTTAAACAATCAACTCATAGATGGGTGAGATGTGTCAATGAGCGAAGTGAGTGAAAGAAACTTTTTTTCGTGACAAAATCTCAAAAGTGGTTTACGCTCGAAGATTGATTCTTCCAAGGCTACACTTTTTTTTCCAACCTAACCCGCAAATAAAAGTACTCATTGGTGGCAATTTTACCAAAGTCACGATCTGTAGCATTGGAAGTTTCATAAAATCTGTTATCTGCTTTACTTGTGGCTAGTGTTTGCTGATCTGTAAGCGACTCTCCACCGTGGCGTAGTTGCATGGACGCCAGACTCCTAATCTACTGGGGCATTTTTCTTAGGGGCATTTTTGCTGCATAGCATTGGCAATTTATTAGCGTCTATAGCTTCATCTTTGGTGACTCGTGTTAGAAAATTGTGAAGAGCCCGTGGCGCAGATGCGAGAACGTGAAACTGTAAATCTTGAGGTCGCAGGTTTGAATCCGACACAGGATAAGTTTTGTTAATTGGAGGCTTATTTCTACTTTTTATTTCATTTTATAAGCTGATTTTTGTCGTTTCTATCTAGTGTCTGTGAATTGCAGCTTCGCCTCTGCGTGTAAGAGTCGGTGAACGTAGCTCAGACTCTCATATAGGACGCCATGATTTTTTTTTCAGGAAAAGTCCTAAAATTTGTTTAGGCTCGACTTCAATTTTATTGCGGTTTGACTTCAGATTTTTTTAAAGTTCAGTTCAGTTCCTTTGTTTGAAGGAAGACAAACCCTAGTCTCGAGCAGCTAAAGTGTAAAGGTCACGAAAAAAGTGATTGACTTCTAGTTTCGATTTAATTTTCAGATTTCCCAGCGAAATAGAAATTGTATACTTATTGGTCCAGTTTTCTCAATTTAGTTTTCAGATTGCACAGCGAAATAAAAAATGTACACTTGTTGATCCAGTGATCTCAAATTGAGTGCATCTCATCAAAAAAGTGGCAATTATAAAGTATTCTAGAATTTAAAGAAGAGTTAAAGGGCGTTTATTTTTTTCTTTGAAATGCGAATGTTGACGTTTTTTTTTGAGTCGCCTTCAAATTATTTGTTAAATACAAGGCACAAAAACAAGCATTATGAAAAGGTCTGGGATCGGGGTTTTTTATGACTCGTTTTTACACTTGCGAAGCGAGTGTTTTAGAACGAACCTTCTTTTTTCCAACCAAAGTCCCAAATATTGGTGCCATTTTTGGGGGCATTTTACAACTCTTTCATAGCATGTGCTTTGACATTCGAATATTAATAAGCTAACACAGTTGATGCGAATCTGGCTTTTTTTACTTGCAAAATTGTGTCTGTTTGTTTTTGGTGCCAATTTCGTTGAATTGCATTAGCATTTTATTAGCATATGAAGCTGCTTTATTCGTGACTAGTGTTTGTCGTTTTTTTAAGCTTGAGTGGATAGTGCGTGAGATTCAAAATCTCGTGAATGCAGTTGGTCGCAGATTCGAATCCTACGCGTAGCCGATTTTTTTCTAATTCGAGGTTTATTTCGAATTTTTCTCTTTTCACTTGATAGAGCTGCTTTTTGGTCGTGTTCTCGCAAGTTTTGAAAAAAATAGTAGTTTAGACGCTTTGAAAAAAAATATTCGTTTTTCTCAACTTTTTTAAATGTTTTTCTCAGAAACTTTTCAACCGATTTTCAAAAAGGTGATACGAATGGAATTTCCATCCAGTCCCTCGTGTGCCTGCATAATAACGTAGTCTCTTTTTAATTCAGTCCATTTTCTACAGCCTTCAAAAAAGTCTGTGGGGGAATTTTTTTTACACCTATTTTGATTTTTTTTTCGTTTTCTCAAAAAATACTTTCTTAAATCTGAGATTTTGGATTCGATGGATAAAACCCGTTCCGGGAAGCTCCCCTGCATTAATAAAGAAGCCCGATTTTTTTCAACAAATGTTTTTTTTTTTATACCGTGTTTTGAAATTTTTTGACTTATCTCGAAAAGTACCCTCTCAAACCTGAGACTTTGGTTGCAATCGAAAAAAACTCTTCGAAGCACCCTTGCATAAGCGGCTACGCTCATAATTTTTTGACCAGCTGGTGCGTTTCTTGAAAAAGTCAATGGTTTGATTTTTTGACCGTTTTGTGAAACTTTTTGATTTTTTTTTTCAAAAACTACCGTACCAAATCTAAGATTTTGGTTTCAATAAAAAAAGACTGAGAGAAGCTCCCTTGTATAAGTGACGATGTCCAAATTTTCCAACAAAAAAGTTTTGGCCCTCAGATAAGTCAATGTTTTGATTTCTTTTCCGTTTTTTTTTTGAAACATTTTGACTCTTCTCGATAACTAGTCAGCCGAATATGATATCAACTGTGTAATCGAGGCAACAGCTTTAGGAAAGTGTGCATAAGCGGCTACGCTTTGAAATTTTAACAAAAAATGTTACGTCTCTGGTTAAATTCTGAATTCTCAAAAGTTTTCAATTTTTATTTAGAGAAATAACTAAGGTTTTGGGTGAAGACCTATTTTTCAAATTACCGATGTCGTTCCGCATCAGTTTTCCACAAGTTGAACCAGTTTTCTCTAATTATGATGAACAATTGTTTTATGGTGTGAATCGTATAAGATTCTTGTGGTTTTCATTATTCGTGGTTTTCTTTTTGCTATTGACACTTTAACAACTTTCTGTTGGCTATATTATGAGATATATATATTTTTTATGTGTATTCAATTTACCCTATGAATTTTATTTGATACGATCTCAATTTTTTTGAACGTGTTTCCGTTTTTGTAATAGTGATGAAACAGTAATTTTTGCTGCACCATTGCGTTTTTTTCAGCCTTTTTGAGAGATATGAATGAAACTTGTGAAAGTAAACGTTTGAACAAGTAATGTTTGGAAATTATGAGCTCGTTTTATAATTTCATTTTTTGTACTTCAGAACGAAAAAATAGTACTGCCAGTTCAACCGCTTCGTTGCAGTCTAGCCCACAAAAGAAAATAAAAACAAAGCAACCTTCGAAGCCAGACGTAGTAAGCAGGAAGATGAAAAGCAAACCTATGAAGAACAGTCGCAGTCAGTGTCAGAAAAGGTCATTCAAGTCCTCTTTTGCAGCGGCATTTCAGTTGGCTACTTCTAGTTTGATCAAGAAAGTTGAAGATGGAGATGAAGATGCGGGTGCTGATTTGAGCTCAGCCGACGAGAGTGCTTTGGTAGGAGGGGCAAGGGAAGGAGAAGGCTTAGATGTGAACAAAAGTGAAGAGGAAAGTGATGTTTTTGTTGTGGAAGGCCAAGTGGGAGAAAGAGAAATAGCTTCTTTAGCTGTTGATACCAAAGGTAACCTTAACTGAATAAGAATTGATTAGTTTTCTTAAAGTACTTTTTTAAGTAGAATCCTGAACTGGATCTAATGACTAATCAAGAAAAGGTAAAAATTGTATTTGCAAGATAATATCAGACGCATACCTGAGAAAAATGTACGGATTCAATTTCTAATTTTAGATCAAATCAATAGATGTAGAGGGTAATATAATTTTTTGACTTATCTGAAATGAAGGTTAATATCTTTTCAGGCGCGCGACTAGAAATTTCTTCCAAACTACCTTTGGAAAATGATCTGTATAAAAACGAAGTTGCTTCAACAAACAGCAAAGCATTCACGGCTGAGGAAGCGGACGATACAAGTGAAAGCATTATGCGGTTCAAGGCTAAATCTAAACTGCCGAAAACCAACAAAAAGACTGCTAAGCCGAAATTCAAACTAACTGGCAGTTTGGGAGGGGGCAAGTTCTACTGTAAATTATGTGGAGGCGATTTTTCTTCCAAGAAGCTGTATGACAAGCACTTATCGATCCACGGGCTGACCCCAGAAACTGTCTCAGGAAATAGTGCTAACGAAAATGAGAAAACGAAGGCTCACATTCCAATGAAAACAGAGTGTAGCCCGGTTAAGTCGCCTGAAAAAAGTCCTGCTAAACCTTTGACGCCAGTTCGGGGATCTTTTTCAGATAACACAAAGTCATTTATTTGCCCTGTTTGCTCACAGAAGTTTTCAACTGAGGACAGTTTAGTTAATCACCAGAAAGTGAGGTTACACCAAGTGAATGAAATGAGTGAAGAAGACAATGAACAAAAAAGAGTAACGAGTGAACTAATTGCAGAAAGTAAAACAAATGAGTCACCAGCGAAATCGGATTTCGACGTGACGTTTTTGTCCCAGTCTTTACCAAACATGAGCTTCAAGAAGACAAGTTATGCCTCGAGAGAGGGAAAACTAAAGCGAAAGAAAGCTTTGGTTGAAAATTTAAAACGATCGAAATTGCCCAAAGTTGCTAAGATAAGCGAAAGGGGAACAAATGATAACCAAGCTTCAAATGCGGAATCTGATACACAGAATGAACGTTTTGCTGAAGTTTCACAGCCTGATGAAAATTTTGTGCCTGTGTTTCTAGACCCGCCTTCTTCTGCTGATGAAAGTACAAATGATGAGTCAGCAGCAGAAAAAGTGCTAGAGACCAGAGGGAGAAATAAATTGAACCCTATCAAGTGCCCACATATTGGATGTCATGAGTCATTTAGAAAAGAAGCATTTTTGAGTCTACATTTGAAACATATCCATACCGCGAAGAAACGAAAAGCTCACGACGGTAATTCGAGCAAGTCAATAATTTACAACAAAAATGTACCGAAGAGTAAAATTTCAGTTGGAATTAAGAAAGAAAAAGGATCACCGACTAAAAATATTTCTCAGGAAGTTAAGAAAAGCAACGCTGAAAATAAAACTGCGGGAGCTAAATCTTCTAAGTCAAACTCAGCTGATGTTAAACTGAAGACCCCGATTAAAGAGTCTTACAATGATATTTTAAATGAAAGTACATCCTTACCTACACAGCTTTCGCCTCTGTCAAGCGACGCTGAAACAGACAACAACATTAGTTTCAGTAAAATATCTGTTCGAGATTCACCTTTAAAAGATGGTCTCAAAAAGATTCTGACGTTTAGTCGACCAATATTAGGTGAAAGTCAAACTGCCGGTGACTCATATGATTCATCGCCTAGTAAGAGTCACAAGAGGGCTACAATAGATGATTCGGATTCGGTTGCTTCCGAGGAATCGGAGGGATGGTCGGGTGAAGTTATCAGATGTGTATGCGAGGATACAGATATTTTTGGAACTATGGTTCAGTGCAACTTCTGTGATTCCTGGCTCCATGGCGAATGTCTAGGAGTAACTGAGGCTACGTTGCCAGATACTTATGAGTGTCCATACTGTGAAGCCAAAAAGAGAGTTCGCAAGTCAAATAGTGTTTCGAATAACCACTGGTTTATGTTTGCATCCAACAATGACAGCTCTTTGGATCCGAGCAAAGAAGATAGACTCGCGTTTGATAAAGAAACTTTGCCATGGATCAACGCAACAAACCAATTTGCTGAAGACTTTTACCATCTCAAGGAAATGCTACATACATTAGAGGTTAGTTTCGAAATTGCTTCTCCGTTAGGTATAAGAATGCATTATAGAACTGCTTGAAAGTTTTTTGAATTAGTTTTTGTCACGAATGACAAGTTCCTTTTGATAATCAGAAAGAAAAGACCCAAATAACTCTATCGTGCTACTAAAACTCTCTCGATAAATATTTCTGGACGATATAAAATGCACCAACTATATACCATTTTAGCTAGAAAACTCAATATTGATGTTTCCTTTTGAAGACAGTTGGTGTCAAGCAAAGCAGATTCAGGGCGCAAAAAGAACCAAAAAATTGCAAAAAAAAAATCATCGGGATAACTTGAAATTTTCCTGGTTGTGCTCTAGGATAAACAGAAAAGTGGACAATAGTCCCGTTGTCTGCTCCTATTAATCTCATTTCTAAGTAACTATCTGAGTTGAATACTATGTCTAATTGATAAAAAGAGAAGTTGATATGAAAAAATACATTTAATTCTTTCTTTCTAATATAAATATAATATTAAATATATTATATATTCTAATATAAATATAATTTTAAATATTTCTTTCTTAAATATAATAGTGTTCAATAATTTACTTTCGTTGATGAATATTTATTGTGTTTTTAGGTTCTGAACTCTATCATGCAAGATCCCGGACACCCAGAGTATCCACAGCTAGTTCTTAGATTCCAACATGCACTGCATACATTTGACAGTGAGGCCAGTGCGTTGGATCATTGTGACTTGGATCCAACAGTGGTTAAGTTACTGGCAGAACTGGGCGATGACGCGAATGAAGCTGGTTTGACGTCACCAGTGCAATTACCACCACAGAATCTGAAATCCACTGATTCAAAGCCTGCTGTAAGTTGATTTAAAAAGAGCAATTAATTCTTTTTAGCTTAATTAAATTCAGCTGGTGTGGTTCAGTGAGTTCATCTTTAATCGCTCTCCCAAAAAGTACATTTATTTAATAGACTTAATTAAGCTGTATAGATAGACATAATGATAATTCAATGTAGAAAAAGAAACAAACCTGGTAAAGAATAGGAAACAAAAACCTTCCCTTATTTTTCGATTAGCTTTACTGGTGCCGTTAGTCAACATAGGTTGCGCTGTCAGTGGAAACTGCGAAATGGTTTCAGGCTTTGACTGCATCTGGTCTTCAAGCATCTTCAGCTTCTGTTGTTGCACTTAATAATGAGACGCTAACGCTCGTTCCAACTGAAGAAACGCTGCACGAAAGAGCCCATACTGTAGATACTTCTGCGAAAGAGACAGACATTGGGCCTAATATGGCGGAAGATAAAACTGATAGTGCAGTTGCAGTCGATGCAATTGAAGCAGATGATGAGAATCCTTCTGCAAATCAGAATGGAGCTGGTGAAGACGATTTTTCGCTAGATTCTGGAGTAGGGCCAAGTCATGAAGTAGAAGATATTGATTTGAAGTAAGTTCATCTGAGTTGTCTTGGCTTCGTTCGTAGTGAAAACCGTCTTTCTATTGTCTGCTTCTATCTTTCAAAACATTTGTTTTCCTTTTATGGCGAGTCAATATATATTTTGAACCACCATAGATATCCATGAAAAAGTTTTTATGGACGACATAGTTTTTTGTTTTGGACATGCTGCAATAGTTATTTTCACGACATGCTCAGTTATTTTCTTTTGGGTATTCGTGTTTCGCTTTTTCGTGTGGGTATTGCAATCTTTTTGCGTTCTTAGCTCTTCTCTTGAAATCGACGAAGACTCTCGAGACGATAAAATTCCCACCAGGCCCAAAACAACAACCCCACCTGACAGCATAGGAGGAAATGACGTGGAGACTCACCGGTCTCATCCGATTGACACGTGGATATCACCCCAGAAGATGTCTTTAGAAAAATGCAAAAGGAGAATGTCAGCCAGTGGTAAAACAGAACTGTTCGAGGAGGATGACATAAGAAATCAGCAGCTGATCTTGAACGAAGAGATTGATCTGAGCGCTTCTCTTTCGTTGTCATCGTACAAGTCTAATATCGAGGTCAGTCAAACCTCAATTTTTTTGAAGCTATTTTACTTTTAAAGCGATTTTTACTCTAATGTGTATTAGTACGTACCTTCTTTTTTTCTAATCTAACTCGCAAATAAAAATTTTCATTGAAAGTGCTCACTTACTTGCTATAATTGTGGCTTAGTGCGTGAGACTCATTATTTCTAGGTCGCCGATCGAATCCGAGACGTGGCCGAATTTTTTTTTTACTAATTCGAGGCTCATTTCTAATTCTTGTTATTGCACTATAAAGAGCTGCTTTTTGTCGTATTTTTGTTAGTGTTTGCGAAATACAGCTTCGCTTCTGTGTTTAAGATACTTTAAAGCAATGATTAAAAGATCTGCTGCTGATGTTGGATAAAATTCCTTAAGATATCGGAGCAGAATTGTATGATTATTAGCTCTAATTCTTGGTTCGTGTAGTCATAACAAAACTTTATTATCAGCTGTAGAAGTAGGGAAGGGAAAGCTAAACGAAATTAGCTGTTTAGCTGCTATACTCTATGCACAAGTACGAGGCACTTGAACATAATCCGTTGACCTCAACTCAAGTGGAAAACGCTCTAGCTAGTCAGTCGCTCACTTCACAACCAATTTCTGCTGGAATTGAAAACAAAGAAAAGAATGACAAAGATATGGTCAATGATGAAATAGGAGAAGAGACCAGGCGTGAGAGAAAAGATGACGAAGAGGAAGATAGCGACGATGAAGATGTGAATGGAAGCAAGGAGGTTATGTTTGACTTCTCGAAGCCCCCGAAGAACATCTCTGAGATGATTGGGCGACTGACTCTTCAGCTTGAAACTAGAATGGATCATCTGGAACAACTATTCGACCGTTAGCTAATTCGATCTTTTTGTTCCGACCATTTGAAAAATGGGGAGGAACGTAGTATTTGGGTGCGTTTTAGTTTTTTTTTCACGCAAAATCAGGTACTACAAATAATAATCGGAATTGGCCAAGTGACATATCATATTGAAGCCCTTTCAGCCGTGTTTTGAATGACAATATAAAATTTGGTTAAAGTTATCCCAGTATCGATAAAAATCGGTTTAAAATTTTTGATTTTTAGTCTAAATTCGAGCGATTAATGCGAGCGAGCAGGCTTAGTATAGCTTAGCTTATGTTTGTTTAATTTAGGCCTTGAAAACTTAGTTTTACTCAAGTAAAGTTGTTTTTGGTGTTTTTTGCGCCATTTGGAAATTGAAAACTTGAAAATTTTATAAAAAATTATGTTCAAAAAATTGAAATTTTTTTTTGCATTTTTTTTCGATATTTTTTTTTGTTTTTTTTAGACAGTTTTCTACAATTTTTGCCTAATTTACTATGACTCCCGAATATTCCTAAGTTCCTGTTTCTTGCACACATCTTTTTTTCACACCACGCAGCAAAAAAACGGCACTAATTAAAAAAAAACATTCTGTGCTAATTGCGCAGTACCCGGCTGTCCTTGTTTAGTCTTTTTTCTTCATTCTATCTTTTTTTGTTTTCCACTCAATATCATCTACCACAAATACAAATAATCATCGGACTGTGAGTGATATATCATATTAAAGCCCTTTCGGTCGTGAGTTGATCTATGTCAAAAAATTTTCAAATTTTCCAAGTGCCGAGAAAACTCCGTTCGAACTTCTTAACTTTTCGTCTTCTTTAGAGCGAGTAAAGCCATCGAGTAACGTTCGTTATGTATGAAAATTACTAATTTCGGCTCAACATTGACAATTTTACTAAAAGAAAATTAAATTAAGGATACCTTTTATAGTGCTTCTCTGGCTAAAAAAAATCATTCGAAAGTATTTGAACTTTTTAATGCAAAAAATTGAAGAAAAAAATTTTTTGTTCATTTATTTTTTGAAGACAAATAAATGTCTTCGTCTAATTAACTAAATTTCTACGCCTTTGTATAGCTCTATCATCACACGGCTTATGAGAAAAGACACTAACTTCTTTCTTAGACACTAACTTACAAGAAAAAACTCTAAAGTCTGAGAATGTGGTCGGAACATCCTGTGCTACTTGCACAGCAACCAGCTATCCTAGTTTTTTTGTTTGTTTTCTGAAGAAAAATACCTAAGGTTATTATCTTGATCCTTCTGTGCTACTTGCACAGTAACCGGCTAATCCTGTTTTAATAAGTTTTTTTTTGGTTTGCTTTAACGCACTTATTAAAATGGCAACTCTTCTTGAAGTTAATAGATAGCGCTTGAAGGTCATTTTGTTTGAAAAATGCAATGAAAATTAGTCTTTTTTGGTTTTAATGTGCTCATTGACCATCTTTCCGTTTATTTGACTTTTCCGGTGTTTGTTCAGAGCATTGTTCAATTCAGTTTGCGTGTATTGCAGCTGCATTTTTTAAATTGATTGTTTCAGAGTTAGAATCTGGTTATGAAGAAAGTGCAGGCAGAGTACTGAATGAAATACAGAGCAATCACTCATCTCTTTCAAAAACAGATGAACAGTGTCTGTCTTCTTGTTTCGACGTCAGCACTGAAGCGCTCACAGAGAGGAGGATGAAGCAACTGTCTAATCAGTTGCACCTATTACAACAGATGAAGAAAAATCCTCGAAACTGAATGACGAGAACGCTCGCTTAAATCAAACTCATAGATATTCCAATCATTAGAAATGCCGATTGTCTTTTTTGCTACGTGAAGTGCAATTCAAATTTATTATAAACTCAAGAGAAAAATCTAATCAGCATTCTAGCAAACTAAACCCAAAGATATCTGAAATCTAGGTGACTCTGAAATGTCATTTTTTGCGTTGCAACCACTTTTTACGAGAAAAAAGCAATAGAGACAGTTGGAACTGGTTCTGTAAAACACTGTTTATGATAACGATATAACAAGATTTTTTGCTTCTGATTTGGTTCTAAAACGCATTTTTCAGAAACTTGGTAACTAATTGAAAATTCTAATGTTTTTCGACAAAATTTTCACGTAGGCGTGAAATCCGTGAAGGGTTGTCTGGAAATTTTGTGCATCTGGTACTAGAACTCGTTGATCATGTTTTACATGAAAAAAGATAGAATGCAACTAGCTTTAAGTTTAATTGTTCGCCGAAAATGAATAACGTCATTTTCAGACAGACAATGAAACGCTGTAGCGCTTTTAACGAAGGATTCTCATTCGATCCAAATGATGTTTCAATTCCAGTGAAGAGCAAGAAAAAAAAGAAAGCGAAGGAGGTGGAGAAAGAATCTGACGAAGAATTAAAGTCATCGCTCTCTACAATTGATCTCCTGATTCAAAATGTGACAAAAGAGAAGAAAGATTTCTATAGCAGAGTATTGCAACATACAAAGGAACAAGCGTAAGTGTTGATACTGTTAGATTAGTTGCAAGGTCAAATTGTGGATTGAGGTTTCAACAAGGTTGTAACACGTTTAAAATGAATTTTGAAAACCTTCAGTTTGCTTGTTGAATAGATGGGCCATCGAAAGCTAGATATGTTTTGAATGAATTTTAAGTGCTGTGTGAAAATGTTCTCAAGGGTAGCCAGGGTGTGGTAATTTTCAGGAAGAAGGCGGACGTGGTGAAAGCGAAGAACAGTAGTGTGAAGCAGAAGGCGATGAAGAGAGATGGTAACTTGGAGGACTTTACTGCCATTCCGGCTGTGAAGGATGAAGAGGAGGAGGACTTCCTCAGATTCGACGAGATGCATCTCTCCCGTCCACTACTCAAAGGCATCAGTGTGCGTAACCCACTTGCTCTGCTTTCATTGAACACATCCCAGAATTTGAAATGAGTAAATTGTCTTAAAGTATATTGAAATTTTTGGTCGGAGTCTTCTTGCCTCTTTTTGCTTACGTTTACGAAGTGCGGCCTTGACCCTTTCTTAAACAGTTATTGAATCTTCTGTTTGCGCCTTTTGTGCCATTTGCACCGCAACCGGCTACTCTTGTTAATGTAAATCAATTGGTAAATCTGAGTAGAATGTAAGCTATTCCCCATAATTTTATAAATCATGATTTAATTGAACGGTTGAAGTTGCTTGCATGATATTTATCCTGATATTTTTAGGCCATGGGTTATGATGTACCTACTCCCATTCAGCAAGCATGTGTTCCAATCGGCCTACAAGGAAAGGATATTTGTGCCTGCTCATCCACTGGAACGGGAAAGACAGCCGCCTTCATGCTGCCCATTCTGGAGAGACTTCTTTTCAAACCAGCTAACGGGGTTGCAGTTACGAGAGTACTTGTGCTGTTGCCTACGAGAGAACTCGCGGTGCAAGTGTTCCAGGTTGGAATGCAGAGACGTGAAATCGATTTTTGACCGCTAGCAAAGATTTTTGACTGCTTCAAGTAAATTGGTCCTTGTAACTCATTTTGAGTCATAATGAATCTTGAATGTATTAAATTTGCATACATTTTAAGAGTCGATGAACGTAGTTTGTTTAGTTTTTTTTTCAAGAAAAGTCATAAAATTTGTCCAGGCTCTAGTTTACTTTTTCGCGGTTTGAATTTGATTTTGTGAATTCAGTTCATTTCCCTTGTTAAAAGTAAGGCAAACTCCACTATCGAACAGCGAAAGTGTAAAGGTCCCGAAAAAAGTGATCGACTTCTTGTTTCGAAAGTGGAATTTAGTTTTCAGATTTCCCTGCGAAATGAAATTTTTACTTTTTGATTCAGTTTTTTCAAATTTAGGTATTTATATCAAGAAATGCCAGTCATAATTTTTTTCCCAAAACTAAAAGAGTTTTAGTGCTTTCATTTTTTTCTTTGAAAATTGAGGTTTTTCAAAATTTTTTTCTGTTTACTTCCGTTCATTGACTCTTTTGCAACTGTCTGTTGGCTTTGTTTTCTTGCGCTCATTATCATTTTGCATCTGTCAGATAGTTATGCTCAAAAAGTATCAATCATGAATTTTCTGGAAACTTAAAGAGCTTGAAGGCTATATATTTTGTACCTTTTCTGTTTCCTTGCGTTCAGTGTTTTTTTTGCAACTCTAGGCTGTTTTTTTTTGTTCTGACCATTGAATATGGGCAGGAATTTTGTCTTCGATTGTGCTTAGTGTCTTTTTCACGTAAAATTAGGTACAACAAATAGTCATAGGAAATGGTCGAGTTTATTTTACAACAAAAAAAATCAATGGAATGGGTCGAGTGATGCAACACATTAAAACCTTTTCAGTCAAGATTTAAACTCAAAAATAATAATTTTAGCTAGTGAAAGACTTAATTTCACTCCAGAAAAACTAGTTTTGGATGCTTTTTTAGCGCTAACTTGGCAATAAAAAGTTTTTTTTTAATTAAATTTGTTCTGCAAAAATATGGCAACAAACTTGTTTATTCATTTTTTGACAACAACTTGTCGATAATGTCTTGATCACTTACTGTCTACGTGTTCGATTAGTTTCCTCATCGAGACACGCACAAAAAAACTGGGAATTTTTTGAATGATTGGTCGAAACATATGCTGCTTGCACAGAAACCGGCTTTCCTTGTTACCCTTGTGATAAGCAAGGGTATTTCAATTGGGTAATAGGCTTTTTTTCTCGTAAACAACTTTGTTCACAGAATGGTACTTTTAGTAGGAAGGATAATTTGGACCCGAATTGTTGGAATTTATCACTTCAGACATGCTCAAATTTAAATGAAACTACCATTTAAGTAGTAATTGAGTAAAGGCTGTTTCATGTAGTAATTAATTTTTCAAAAAAATTTCTCACATTTTTTTCGTGTTAGTGTTTCTCCTTCTTGTTCCTGTCGGTTCATTTTCCGTTATTTATAAACGCACATTCTAAAAATCTGTTAGAGTTTTTGTGGCTCACTTTGTAAACCATAGGTTTCGTTCCAATTTAAACAGTTTTTACATTAGAACTGAAAGTTCTGTAATTTGTAATTTTACCAAATCTGATTTTGCGTTTTTTTCTTGTTTTTTTTTTAAATTTTAATAGTTTATTATTTTGGCTTAGTCAACTTATCTTGCGTAATTTTGAGGGCAAAATATATTCATGAAGGATTCTGTGCCTCAGTATGGATGTCTCGTAAAAATTTGTAAAACCTTATGAAATTTTTTTTGTCAGCAGTTTTGTTTTCGGCTCAACAGGTTTTGACCCAAATTTTTTTTGCTTTTGTCGCCAGGTGAATGGTTTCCTATTGTTTTTACGGCTGTTTATGAACTTCATCCGATACAACCATGAAGTTTTCGTAGCTGTAGTTTTTTCAACATAATTTACTTAAATTTTTTTTAGATCTGTTGTCTTTTTTGCACTGACTATATTGTATATTGTAGCGCGATGTGTAGCATAATGCGAAGTTTTTCGAGCTTGTTCAATACTGGTCAATTTTTTTCTTCGAGTCGGTTGCTTTGTGAATCGCAAGTGGCGCGAAGCTCAGCTTCGCCTCTGTGCTCAAAGTTAATGTATATATGGAGAAATTGTTCCTTAAAGGCCATTTTGCTTCAGGTTTCAAAAAGCTTGGCAAAATTCTCCAAGATTCAGATAACTCTTGCTACTGGTGGCTTGGATCTGAAGACACAAGAGGACGCTGTTAGACGGTTCCCTGATGTCCTCATTGCCACTCCTGGTAGACTAATTGACATTTTAGTCAACACGCCTAGCTTTCACCTGCAAAATATCGAAATTTTGGGTTAGTATGAGTATAATATAAGCAAGAACTCATTAAGTAACTTAGCTGAAGTGATCGTATTCCATGGAAACCATTATTGTAGTTCAATTTTATGTTGGTTAGACACATTTGAGTTTTGATGAGAATAATCGAGGGATCATTTTGAATATTGCTGATGCCTTTGGATTTTTGCCGTATGCTGCAAAAAATCATAATTTTGATTTGGAAACATTGTTGTTTCAGTTTTGGACGAAGCTGATCGGATTCTTGACGAGTCCTTTGAGGATCAAATCAAAGAAATTGTCAAGGGATGTTCCCGGAGTAGGCAAACCATGTTGTTTTCTGCCACAATGTCAGACCAGGTCAGAGATCTAGCTGTTGTGTCGTTGCGCGACCCGGTCAAGATTTATGTCGACTCAAGTTTGGGAGTGGCTCAGAACTTGAGACAAGAGTTTGTGAGAATTCGACCTCAGATGGAACCGTACAGAGAAGCAATGCTGGTGTCACTTTTAGTTCGAAACTTCACTAATCGTATTATTGTTTTTGTGCCAACGAAACAATTGGCGAGACGTATGCATATTGTTTTGGGGCTTTTTGGACTTTCAGCTGGTGAACTCCATGGAAACATTCCTCAAACTATAAGGCTGGACACGCTAAACAGATTCAAAGATGGTAAGTTTGAAGTGCTGATTGCTACAGACGTGGCGGCTAGAGGCTTGGACATCAAGGGAGTGACAACTGTAATCAACTATTCCATGCCAAAGACCTACAAGCAGTATATACACAGGGTGGGAAGAACAGCCAGAGCTGGGAAAAGTGGAGTTTCACTGACCTTATATGGAGAGCAAGACCGGAAAATTATGAAAGAGGTTCTGAAGTACTCGAGGACAACGTTGAAAAATCGAAGCATACCTTCTGAAGTTATCGAGTATTACAAAGGAGTTTTGGATGCTATTGAAGTAGATATTGAAAGTGTCAATTCGCACGAGGACGCAAATGCCGACATTTACAAATTGGAGGCTAGAATCAAAAAAGCGGAAGCAACTTTGACGCAACATGAGGATCTCTATGGGATGCCAGGAGCCAAAAATAGTGTAAGTTCGGAGTCCGAACGAACTTGGTTCCAGTCTCACAGAGAACGGATGGAGAAAAAACTGAGTAACAAGCTTGCAGAATATGCCGAGAGTTGTGAAACGTCTGAAAAGAAAAAGTCTCTGACAAAACAAGAGAAAAAAATTCAATCCAGAAAAGCAGAGGTGGCTCAGGCTAGAGATAAAGAGGAAAAAAAATTAATAAAAAGTCAGTATCTCGACGCAAAGAGGGCAAAACGAGGAAAGAAAAAGTAGTTGTTTTGTGAGTTTTTTAAAATCCTGAATGATTGATTTATCGAGTTTAAATTGATGTCTTAATAATTTTTTGATTTAATTCAGATGACTGACTTCACTTTAAAATCAAATTTCAATCTAGAAAGAACTGGAGGAAAAACGGCAAAGAATCCAATTTTTGATTAAGATGTACACTCTCAAAGGAATCCAATATTTACACAAGCAATGCTTGTGTTATAGTATGAACTATCTTTTTTTTCCAACCTAAGTCGCAAATATTGTTGCGATAAAATGTGTTCATTTTGAAAGTGTTCATTTTCATCAATAACCAACTATTAAATACAGCCAATGCTAAGTATTTTAACACAGACTACTATTCTCCCGACTTTCGTAACGAAAATAACGGAATATTTGTGCTCATGGTGGTTTTTTTTCTTCAGACAAATTTCGACTGATCACTAGCCATTTTTGACAGTATTTTTTTATATCATTCAAAGGTAACCTAAGCTTTATTTTGGAAAGATATTTCACCTGTGATCATTTATTTGTAAATTTATGGGGGTTTAAAAGTTGTCATTTTGGTCAATTTGGGACAATTAACGCGCGAAATATTTAGCGCTATTAACGAGTAAGCGGAGATTTAATCCGTCATAGAAATCGTTCCAAATTGGTTGAAGGAAGCTTATTTGTCATAATTTATTTGTTGCTAGGAGCGAAAGTACTTGATATGGCGCGTGGGGGGATGATTTTTTCTTAAAAATCTGAAATTATAAAAAACTGAAATTTTTTTAGTACATTTAATTTTCTCATGTTATTACTGCTCCATAGACTGCTCTTTAGATTGAGGCATGTTAGTTGGTAAATTTTTCTTCTGGTAATTTTTTCAAATGGACTGGTACTGCTAATGCGTCATAATTGGCGTGCGTCACTAACGAAATTTTTTAGACTCCAAGTTTTAAATTTTGTAGACTCAAAGTTTTCAGTTTTTCCAGTAGCGTTATCGGTCATATTTTTGCTTGTGTATGCGAATTGCAACTTTGTGTCTGTGTTGATTAAGACGTACACTCCCAAATGAAGCGATATTCGAAGTAATCCGATAGTAATAACGGTCATTACCGTTGCGATAAGCATGGATATTGCAATCAGTTACTAGACTTTCCCACTTAATAACTTTGATCACAGAATGGTCAAAATTTAAAAGTAGTTATTTTAGGGTAAGTTCAGAATGAATTCAATTTTTTTTGCGTCTCCGACAAGCTTGATTGAAAGACAACGAATACGCCTGGGACGGTAATAGTCTTGGGTTCAAATCTGACAGGAACTGCTTTTTTTTCAAACGGGAAAAATTCCGTTTCAAAAAAATTGTCGGCTTATTATTTCCTGGTTATGTTTTGTCGGCTTAGTTGCCACATCATAAAATTGTTTTTTTTTAGTGTACGCGAGTTACACTAAAGTTGCTTTTAGTGTTTTGACTTTTGCTGTTTTCAATTTCGTAGCTTTGACTTAGTATGTTTTCTTCAAAGTCTAGCTTAAAACTTTTTCTGCCCAAATGATTTCGTCTTATATTTTATTGGCTTAGTGACCTTTTTGAGTTGTCTCTACGGAAACATATTGGCTCGCCTCTCGATTGCATAAAATACTAAAAAGGTTAATAGAATTGATAGTTAATTCATATGTGCGTTTGTGTGCTTTGAGGGTGTGGGGGGACTTGTAACTTCTTATTAATCATATTACTTTTTGCATTTTTTCTGCTTTTTAAAATTTTGTTTCGGCCTTATAGAATTCGGCGTATATTATATCGGCTTATGGACCGCATATTGTTTCACTTGAAGAGCTAATAAAGTTTTGGGGGCGAGTAGGACTGAATAACTTTTTATAATTCGTAAGTCGTGTTGATTTTTTTTTTCATTTCGAAAGGTTTCTGCTAAGGTATTTTTGGCTTTGTTACCGATTGGTAAATTTATTGCGATGCTAATTTCACATTCTCTTGTCTTGGCATGTTTTGTTTCGAAACTAGCTTTATTCATTTTGTTAGATATAGTTTTTTTTCGACATTTTCGATCTTTTTTTGAAGCTAAAACTAGGGTGAAGCTAAAACTTTTTACTCAAAAAGAAACAAAAAACTCTTTCCGAAGGCTGGAATATCTTTCAGATATTGCCATGGCAGTTGAAACTGTCGAGAAGCGGAGCGACACTGTCAATGTCAAAAGGGTTGCGTCTGACCCTGTGGTGCCCTCAGTTTGGAAAGCCAAAGACTTCTCAATCGCAGCTGAGCAGAGAAACTTCCCAGGGTCGGAAGCATGCGAGTTCGATCCTTTGTTAAATATCAAGAAGGTGGACGCCCAAAAGTCACAGGTGATCACAATTTATTCCAACATTTTACTTGTTATCTTTTTTTAGCCGATGTCATAGTTTCTCCCCAGCCGTTCTTTAACAGATTTTTGACTTCAAGTTCTTAGGGCTCGTGAAATTTTTTTTGAAAAATTCAAATATTAAGCAATTGATTAGTATCAAAAATAGACGACCAAGAGTTTTAAAAAACAAATTAGTTTTAGGGGCCCTTTTCATGACAAATTGAGATAGTTTTTAAATGCTTCTTCTTAGGTGGTGAGATCGGCAACTACAGCTGCTATGGTACCAAAGATTGTGTCCTCGGAGAAAGACTTCGACGACCCCCTATCCAAAATGGCCATGGCCCAGGAAGAGAGTGCGTCAAATCTATCGGGCATGTTGAATGATCCTCTTGGTGCTGCTGCTGCTGCTGCTTCTAGCTCGAAGTCATTCGGAGGTGTTGCTGTGAGTATGTCTGCGGGCAACTCGTTCAGACAACAACTGAGAAGCGGAAGTGCTGTGTCAACTGCGTCGGTTAGTAATTTACTTTTTTCTGTTTTCTAGGCTGTCTTTTGTTTTCTTGTTAAGCATAAATGAACGATGTAATTTTCACTTCTAAAGGTTGTGACGATTTTTTCGTTTTTTTTTTCGGGAAAGTTTTTTCAAGCTCAAATTTGATTTTTCATGGCCGGAGTTTTGATTTTTTTTTTTAGCTCAGTTCATTTTCTTAGTAAAAAGAAAGGCAAACTCCTCTATCGAACAGCAAAAAAAAAATAAAGGTAGCGAACAACGTAAAACGACATCTAATTTCAAAAGTGGACTTAATTTTCTGAATTCCCAGCGGAAAAAAGTTCTTGAAATTCAAAGAGCTTCAACGTGATATTTTTTTATCGAAATTGTTAAATTTTCAATTATTTGTTTTCCGTTTCCGGAGTTCTTTCAGACTTTTTTATTCTTTTCCAACCATCTGTTGACTGTTCTATTTCAAGATGCTGATTTCTATCACTAAACTCGCTAGATGCAGCTATTATATTCTATTGATGGAGCGATTTTTTGCAAAAATTAGGTGTTTCTGGACATGAAAAATCGCTAGTTGTCGGAAAAATTGGAAATAAAGCTATATTTAATGAGTAATACTTTCCAAAAATGATATGATTTATCTTTGATGTGCGACGCCTGCTTCTAAAGTAATATAAAGGAGTGCCTAGTATGCCAAAACTGTTTGTTTAGAGTGTGGAATCTGCGGCAGAAATTTTTGGTCCTTACGGCGACTCTTTCGTGCCCTGGTCAATCAAAAGAATCGAGATCCTAGAGCAGTTCACGACCACGGAGAAACTGACCATCTCACTGGACGGAATCCCAAAGACGTCCGTAAAAGGTGGCAGCGCAGTGGAAGAGAAGATAGCTAGGAGGCTGGACCAGTTGGATGAAATGGGTTAGACAATAACGCCACTCAAATTTTTGTTCAAATTTAATAGAGAAATAAATGGCTTAGTTGGCAAGCTGGCGAGAATTCTCACACTCCACGAATAGGATTAATTGTGTTTTACTGATCCCAAAAGTTTTTTCAGATCCTGCATTTTTTGTATTCTAATTGCAATCGTGTATTTTCTGTGAAAATAGAGATTACTTTTTGAGTAGGATATCGGAAAAAACTTTTCATGCACAAATGGCATTTTCAGTATTGTTTTTCAAACATGGTTTTTTTGTTTTTATAGCCGAAACAGGGATAACTGGTGGAAAGAACTTGAGTCAGAGAGAGTATATAGCTAAGATAGACGAAATGAACAGTGGCTTCATGGGTGCCTGGAACAATGAAGAGAAAGTGAAGGCGTTCAAAATTGTCATCCAGTGTGTGAAACTCCTAGTAGATACATCAGTGGTAGAATTCTACCCGAGCAAGTTTGTGCTGATAACCGACATTGTGGAGACGTTTGGGAAAGCAGTCTATAAGCGACTGAAAGAGTTAGTATAACTGAGCTAATTGTAAGCGAAAAAATAATGTTAAGTGGAATTAGCGATATGCAAGTTATGCAAGAGGAACTTATGAAAGTTGATGTATCCGTTTTAGCAAAGCAGCTTTTCTGTCCGAGGGATTCACTCCTGAAATGGTCCCAGACAGCGTGAAGGAATTAGCTCGGAACTGGTTCTACAAAATCTACTCGGTCCGCGAAATGCTTCCACGTCTTTACGCCGAGACTGCAGTCTTAAGGTGCTACAGGTTCTTAACCATGGGCGAATACAAAAGTGCACTGACGCGGATCACTAAAATGATTCGGGGAATCGGAGACCCGCTAGTGGCTGTATACACGAGAGCTTATTTGTGCAGAGCCTGTTTGCAACTCGCCCCTGAGTATAGAGATTGTCTGATGGAGAATTTCAACGATTTTTTGCTGTGTCTTGATCAAATAAAGACTCCAATTGTGAACAAAATTGCAAAGAACTGCAGTATAGAAGTGCCGCCATACTACCAGCTGTTTCTGCCAGGTAATATTTTGTTTAATTTAAAGCCCATCACTACACTAGCGGGCTTGCGAGCTAAGTGTATAAGTACGAACCTTCTTTTTTCTAACCTAACTCGTATGCCTTAAAAGTAATCACTTATTTGGTAGCATTTTGCTATAAACACAATCTGTAGCATTGGAAATTTCATAACATCTGTTCTCTGCTTTATTTGTAGCTAGTGTTTGTGATTTATTTAGCGTTCGCGGCTGAGTGGTTAATGCGTGAGACTCACAATCTCTAGGTCGCAGATCGAATCCTAGACGTAGCCGATTTTTTTTCTTACTAATTCGAGGCCTATTTCTACTTTTTAGAGCTGATTTTTGCCGTGTTCTCGCTAGTTTTTGCGAAATGAAGCTTCGCCTGTGGGTAAAATAGATTCAAAATATCATTCCAAAATCAGTTGTACTTAAAAACATCATCTTTGTGCATAAACGCCTTCCTACGTTTCAAACAAGTAGATCAAAAAGTTCTCGATTCAAAGATCTCATTTTTGTTCCGACCCCCAAAAAATGGAGGAATTTTGTCTTCGGCTGTTTTAGTTGTTTTGGTCTAGTATCGAGCAAATAGAACGAGTAGTCTTATAATTACACAAGCAATTTTTGTGTTATAGCACGAACTATCTTTCTTTTTTTCCAACCTAAGTCGCAAATATTGTTGCGATGCAAATATTGTTGCGATAAAATGTGTTCCTTTTGATCGATAATCAGCTATTATTTACAGCCAATGCTAAGGATTTTAACACAGGCTATTTTTCTTCCGACTTTCGTAACGAAATAACGGAATATTTGGGCTCGGGGTTGTTTGTTTTTCTTCAGACGAATTACAAAGTTTTAACTATCCATTTTTGACGGGGTTTCTATTTCATTCAAAAAGTATTGTTGTCCTAAGCTTAAATTTGGAAAGATGTTTCACGCGCGATCATTTTTATAGAGTTATGGGGGGTATACAAATTGCCATTTTGGCCAATTTGGGACAAATAACGCGCGATATATTTCGCGCTATTAACGAGTAAGCGGAGATTTAATTCGTCATAGAAATCGTTCCAAATTGGTTGAAGGAAGCTTATTTTCCATAATTCATTTTTTTGCTAGAAGCGAAATTTATTTTTTCGTTTTACTATGGCGTGTGGGGGAATGATTTTCACAAAAATCTCAAATTGAAAAAATGTTCATTTCATTTTAATTACATTTATTTTTTTCATGTTATTACTGCTCCATAGACTGTTCTATAAATTTAGGCATGTTAGCTGGTAAATTTCTTTTTTCCAAATTGACTGGTACTGCAAATGCGTCTTAATTGGCGTGCGTCATCTCAGAAATTGTGTAGACTCATAGTTTTACTCATTCATTTTTCCCAGTAGCGTTATTGGTCATATTTTTGCTTGTGTATGCGAAGTGCAACTTCGCCTCTGTGTAGGAAGCTTATACTTCAAGTTAAGCCGCGAAAACTTAGTTTTACGCCAGTAAAGTCAGTGTACGAAGGTTCTTTCAGCACCTTCTTGGGAACAAAAAAATCGAATTTTTTTTATTGAATTTTTTCTACTTTATGAGGAAAACTGTGGTCAAATGAACCTAATTTACCACCACTATCGAAGTTCGGGGCTTTCGTTCAATTCTTCTCATACCATGAACAAAAAAACGACGCCGCTTGAAAAAAATCGTTCTTCTTCATTTTTTCATTTTGGTCGGAATTTTCAGTGCAACTTGCGCTGCAACCGGTTATACTTGTTACCATTTGAAACTAATTATGCTACAAATTTGAAAAAGAAATTTTTCTTTTTTTAGTTTTTTCCTTGACTTGATGTTTGTTTTAGCTGCCGAGTGGCTTCTGCAGTGTGTAATCTGCAACTCCTCAGACACAATGTTAGATTCAATCAGAGACAGGTGTGAAACGCACATAGTACTCAGACACGCAGTCTTCTCCACATTCCCTCCAGACTACATCTGTGCACAGCTGGACTACTTCACGGACTTCATCAGCCAGGACAAGAGGGCACTGAAGGGTACAAGGGAAGTGGTTGATGAGAATCAGACCAAATTAATTGTGAGGAAGTCGGAGTTGTACAGGATTCTGGGGGAGAAATGTCTACATGGCAGGGTAAAATCAGCTTTTGCCATTTGAATGACCTTTATCTATCTATCTATCGATCTATCTATACCTTATTTAATTGGCGTTTCACATAAGACATGTTTAAGAATTCCCTATGTCGGCATATTTAAGAAGTCCCTATGTTGACACATTTAAGCTTTTTGAACGTAATATTTTTTGCATGTTTAACGAAAGATTTTTGCACGTTTAAGCTATTTCGTATATTGTAATGCTTAAGAAATTTCATTTGGCACACTTTTAAGAAGTCACTATGTTGGTATAGAAAAAATGTGGAGTTGAAGCATTCGCCCTACAACTGATTTTAAAAGGTCAACTTGAGTAAACATTTCAATTCTTTCAAAAATAGGCTTACAAAATAGGCATCTGTTGTAGGGCGAATGCTTCAACTCCACATTTTTTCTATATTCGCAAAGTAAAATTACCAAATTTTTGTATCACCATTTATTGAACTAAAAATTAGTTTCTAAGCCTCATAGCGGGTGCTGTCGGGGTACACTCAGGGGTTTCATATCTGGAGTCCAAGTATGACGGCTCAAATCTTTTTGGTTTTCGAGATATGGCGTTTCTTATGATTTTTTCAATTTTTTTTCGAAAAAAACGTAGATGTAAATTAAAGTAACCGAAGTTGCTCAGCCCCATAGTGGGTGGCTGTCAAGGCACACTCAGGGATTGCTTATTTAGTGTCCAAGTATGATGGTTCAAATCCTGTTGGTTTTCGAGATAAGTCGTTTTTTATGATTTTTTTCGATTCTTTTTTCAAAAAAAACCTAGATATAAAGTAACCGAACATGCTCAACCCTATAGTGGGGCGCTGTCAGGGTACACTTAGGAGTTGAAAATCTGGCGTCGAAATATAACTGCTCAAATCTTTTTGGTTTTCGAAATATGTCGTTTTTTATGATTTTTTCAATTTTTTTTTTCAAAAAAAAACTTGGATTTAAAATCAAGTAATCGAACTTGAATTTCTCAACCCTTCAATGGCGTGCTGTCAGGGTACGCTCAGGGATCGCAAATATGGCTTTAAATTATGACTGCTCAAATCCTTTTGGTTTTCGAGATGTGGCGTTTTCTTATGATTTTTAAATTTAAAAAAAATTAATTAAAAAAACTTAGATTTTAAGTAAAATAACCGAACTTAAAGCTCTCAACCCTATAGTGGGCTGCTGTCAGGGTACTTTTATGAGTTGCAAAGCTGGCGTCCAAGCAGGACTGCTCAATTCTTTTTAGTTTTCTAGATGTGGCGTTTCCTATTATTTTTTCAATATTTTTTAAAGAAAAACTTAGATATAAACTTAAGTAACCGAACTTGCTCAACCCTATAGTGGGGTGCTGTCAAGTTACCTTCAGGGGTTGCATATCTGGTGTCTAAGTATGACTGCTCAAATCTTTTTGGTTTTCGAGATATGGCGTTTTGTAGGAATTTTTCAATGTTTTTTTTTAAAATGTTGATTCAAATTGAAGTAGCCGAAATTGAAATTGTTAACTCTAAAGTGGGGTGCTGTCAGGGTTTACTCTGGATTTGACAAACTGGTGTCAAATTGTGACTGCTCAAAACTTTTTGGTTTTCGAGAAATGGCGTTTTTTATGATTTAGCAATTTTTTTTTCAAAAAAAACTTAGATACAAACTAAAGTAACCGAACTTGAAATTTTCAACCCTATGTTGATCTGCTGTCGCTGTCGGGGTGCACTCCCAGTTTGGCGTCTGGCGTCCAAATATGACTGTTCAAACCTTTTGGTTTTCGAGCTATGGCGTATTTTATGATTTTTAAATTTAAAAAAACTAAGGTAAAAAAAACTTAGATTTAAATAAAATTAACCGAACTTAAATTTTTCAACTCTATAGTGGTGTGCTGTCAGGATACACTCTGGAGTAGCAAAGCTGCTGTCCACTTATAACTACTCAAATCTTTTTGGTTTTCGAGAAATGGCGTTTTTTTAGGATTTTTTTCATTTTTTTTTTTCAAAAAAAAACTTAGATTTAACTTAAAGTAACCGAACTTGCTCAGATCTTTAGTGGGGTGCTGTCAAGTTGCCTTCAGGGGTTGTATATCTGGTGTCTAAGTATGGCTGCTCAAATCTTTTTAGTTTTCGAGATATGGCGTTTTTGTAGGAATTTTTCAATGTTTTTTTTTAATGTTGATTCAAAATGAAGCAGCCGAAATTGAAATTGTTAACACCAAAGTAGGGTGCTGTCAGGATACACTTTGGATTTGCAAAACTGGCGTCAAATTTTGACTGCTCAAATCATTTTGGTTTTCGAGAAATGGCGTTTTTTTAAGGTTTAGTTCAATTTTTTTTAAAGTAACCGAACTTGCTCAACCCTATAGTGGGGTGCTGTCAAGTTACCTTCAGGGGTTGCATATCCGGTGTCTAAGTATGACTGCTCAAATCTTTTTGGTTTTCGAGATATGGCGTTTTTATAGGAATTTTTCAATGTTTTTTTTTTAAATGTTGATTCAAAATGAAGTAGCCGAAATTGAAATTGTTAACTCTAAAGTGGGGTGCTGTCAGGGTTTACAGTGGCGTCAAAATTATGACTGCTCAAATCTTTTTAGTCTTCGAGAAATGGCGTTTTTATGATTTAGTTCAATTTTTTTTTCAAGAAAAAAACTTAGATACAAACTAAAGTAACCGAACTTGAAATTTTCAACCCTATGTTGATGTGCTGTCGCTGTCGGGGTGCACTCACAGAGGCTGCTTTTAAAACTTGCAATAATTCGGCGTCTGGCGTCCAAATATGACTGTTCAAACCTTTTGGTTTTCGAGCTATGGCGTTTTTTATGTTTTTAAATTTAGGTAAAAAAAAAACTTAGATTTAAATAAATTAACCGAAATTGAATTTCTCAACCCTATAGTGGGCTGCCGTCAGGGTACACTCACGAGTGGCAAAGCTGGCGTCCAAGCATGACTGCTCAATTCCTTTAAGTTTTCTAGATATGGCGTCTTTTTAGGACTTTTTTCAATGTTTTTCTTTTTAATTTCGATTCAAAATAAAGTAACCGAAATTGATATTCTCAACTCTAGTGGTGTGCTGTCAGGATGCACTCTGGAGTAGCAAAGCTGCTGTCCAATTATGACTGCTCAAACCTTTTTGGTTTTCGAGAAATGGCGTTTTTTTAGAATTTTTTCAATTTTTTTTCAGAAAAAAAAACTTAGATATAAACTTAAGTAACCGAACTTGCTCAGCCCTGTAGTGGGGTGCTGTCAAGTTACCTTCAGGGGTTGCATATCTGGTGTCTAAGTATGACTGCTCAAATCTTTTTGGTTATCGAGATATGGCGTTTTTGTAGGAATTTTTCAGTATTTTTTTAAAAATGTTGATTCAAAATGAAGCAGCCGAAATTGAAATTGTTAACACTAAAGTAGGGTGCTGTCAGGATACACTCTGCATTTGCAAAACTGGCGTCAAATTTTGACTGCTCAAATCATTTTGGTTTTCGAGAAATGGCGTTTTTTTATGGTTTAGTTCAGTTTTTTTTCAAAGTAACCGAACTTGCTCAACCCTATAGTGGGGAGCTGTCAAGTTACCTTCAGGGGTTGCATATCTGATGTCTAAGTATGACTGCTCAAATCTTTTTGGTTTTCGAGGTATGGCGTTTTTGTAGGAGTTTTTCAATGTTTTTTTTAAATGTTGATTCAAAATGAAGTAGCCGAAATTGAAATTGTTAACTCTAAAGTGGTGTGCTGTCAGGATACACTCTGGATTTTCAAAACTGGCGTCAAATTTTGACTGCTCAAATCATTTTGGTTTTCGAGAAATGGCGTTTTTTTATGGTTTAGTTCAGTTTTTTTTCAAAGTAACCGAACTTGCTCAACCCTATAGTGGGGAGCTGTCAAGTTACCTTCAGGGGTTGCATATCTGATGTCTAAGTATGACTGCTCAAATCTTTTTGGTTTTCGAGGTATGGCGTTTTTGTAGGAGTTTTTCAATGTTTTTTTTAAATGTTGATTCAAAATGAAGTAGCCGAAATTGAAATTGTTAACTCTAAAGTGGTGTGCTGTCAGGATACACTCTGGATTTTCAAAACTGGCGTCAAATTTTGACTGCTCAAATCATTTTGGTTTTCGAGAAATGGCGTTTTTTATGTTTAGTTCAATTTTTTTTTAAAGTAACCGAACTTGCTCACCCCTATAGTGGGGTGCTGTCAGGGTTAACTTTGTAGTTGTAAGTCTGGCGTCTATTTGTGACTCCCAAAACCCTTTGGTTTTCGAGAAATTGCGTTTTTTTTTTTTCAATTTCTTTTTTTCAAACAATCTTAGATATAAATTGAAGTAACCGAACTTGAAATTTTCAACCCTATGTTGCTGTGCTGTCGGGGTGAACTCGGAGGGATTGCATTTAAAATTTGCAATAAGTCGGCGTCTGGAGTCCAAGTATGACTGTTCAAATCTTTTTGATTTTCGAGATAAGGCGTTTTTTATTATTTTTTCATTTTTTTCCAAAAGTTAGATTTAAATTAAAGTAACCGAACTTGCTCACCCCTATAGTGGGGTGCTGTCAGGGTTAACTTTGTAGTTGTAAATCTGGCGTCTATTTGTGACTCCCAAAATCCTTTGGTTTTCGAGAAATTGCGTTTTTTTTTTTTTCAATTTCTTTTTTTCAAACAATCTTAGATATAAATTGAAGTAACCGAACTTGAAATTTTCAACCCTATGTTGCTGTGCTGTCGGGGTGAACTCAGAAGGATTGCATTTAAAATTTGCAATAAGTCGGCGTCTGGAGTCCAAGTATGACTGTTCAAATCTTTTTGATTTTCGGGATAAGGCGTTTTTTATTATTTTTTCATTTTTTTTTCCAAAAGTTAGATTTAAATTAAAGTAACAGATTTTGCTCAGCTCTATAGTGGGGTGTTTTCAAGGTACTTTCAGGGGTTGCATATCTGGTGTTCAAGTATGACGGCTCAAATCGTTTCGGTTTTCGAGATATGGCGTTTTTTAATGATTTTTTCATTTTTTTTCTAAATAAGATATAAAATGAAGTAACAAAACTTGAAATTCTCAACCCTATAGTGGGGGTACTGTCGAATTATACTCAGGATTTGCAATTCTGGCGTCCCAGTATGATTGCTCGAATGTTTTTGGTTTTCGTGATATGGAGTTTTTTATGATTTGTTTTTTATTTGAAAAAACTTTGATATAAAACAAAATTAATGAAACTTGAAATTCTCAACCCTATGTTGGTGTGCTGTCGGGGTACACTCACAGGGATTGCAATAAAAATTGAATTAAAAAAACTAACCGATCTTGAACTTCTTAACCCTAATGGTGGGGTTCTGTCAGGGTACGTTCAGGGGGTACGGTCAGGGTGCCAATCAGGGGGTACTGTCAGGGAATTCTTCGTCTACCATCAGTATACAAATCAGGGGGGGGGGGGGGGGGTACTGTCAGGGCCTCTAACCTTACCTGCTCACTTTTTTTGTTTCCGAGAATATGGCCTTTCTCATGATTTTTTATTTTAATACTGTTTTCAAAAAAAAACTTAGATTTAAATATAGTAGTATAACTTGAAATTCTAAATCTACGATGGAATGCTGCCAGGGAACAATTTAGGGTAGCAAATCTGCCCTCGAATTTAATTTGTCAAATCTTCTTGTTTTTCGAGATATGGTGTTTTTTAAAAGAAAAGAAACCTGATAGATGAGCCCAGTTATCTTCACGGTTGCATTAAATTAGGGTCACTAAAATATCGCTGTTTTAGTACATGTTTTAAGAAGCTATTTTTTACGTTCAACGATCTATTTGAAGCACCGTAGGTGCGAGTCAAGTGCTAGTCTTTCTGAAGCATGATTTTCTCTTCATCTTTTATTTAATTATTAAAATTGTGTTTATGTGTTTATTTGTTCATAACTTCAAATGACGATCTGTCGTTTAAATAATTATTTTTTTTTGTCTGAAAAAAGCCAAGGAAATAAAAAAAAACTATACAAATTGGCAATCTTCACAAAACATATTGAATAATCTCTTGGGGAAGTGAATTGGTATTAATGTTGCATCTTTAGATCGCCTCGATGGCAGAAAAGTGGGAGCTTCTTAATGAGGTTTGGAAAGCGGTTCTGAAATTGGACAACATCCAGGAGTTTATGCGAGTTGCCAATGTTTGGCTTGAATTTGCAGCCAAATGCCTGACACCGGACCACGTGGAACTAATACTGAAAGGCCTGATCAAACACGTGGTCCCAGAACGGAAGTATGAAAAAGTTCTGAACGAACTGACTGATTCTGTGCGATGTATGTTCAGACAATCATCGAGATCTACTTGTGCGCAGCTTCTAAGTCTGGAAAGTTTTCTCGCACTTTTGGATTTGTTTCAAAGCGACCAATCAAAACGCTATGAAGTCAATCACTTGATTTTGGAAATGTTTATCAATAACACCTCAAATGATGAGCCGATAGTGGATCCTATAGTTATCAATGCGTTGTTGAGGATCGGCAAGAATCTGCATGACAACCTGTCCTCGTTTTCGATGAAAAGTGTGACTAATTTGGCACGAGAATTGACTGAAAATGGGCAAGGATTTGGAGGTCAGAGTCACACCTCTCTTTTGGTGGCTGAGTTGATTTTGAAGATGCTCGATCGAATTACTTTCGGAGATGATTTCGAAGCACAGTTGAATTTCTATGTCGAAGCGAGAGGTGAATATAATTTTATACCTTTTTTTTTAAAAAACTAGTAATTTATGTTTAAAATATTCTTTCGTTTCTTCGTATACTCGATACTATAACGAAATCGAAGTACATCTAACTATTTTTGTTTTTTAAAGTAAATTGTAAGTTTTTTAAATAGCTGACAATTAATTTTAGGTTTTACGGAGTTTTCGAGAACGGATAAAGGTGTTTTCGTGTACGTTTTCAGCAATAGATTTAAAACAGAATATCTCAACAAATATTATACGAAAGCAATAATGTTTCAGCCTGTTTCTTCCTGATTGAATCAGTGATCACTGAACTAGTTCACAGAGTGAACACTCTGACCATGGAGACACTTCGCAGGATGCCGTCGGGAAGACACAGCAAACGCACTTCGTCCTTCATCAGAGCATGCATAGCATTCAGTATCATCACCGTACCTTCCATCGAAAACATAATCACACGTCTCTCCCTCTATCTCAATACAGCTCAGGTTAGACCGAGACTTCGAAAAGAAATATAGAGGATATCAATTCGAACCGTAGATTTGTTCAAGCGACTAAAATTCCTCAATTCTTCCAGGAAATTATTTTTGAATTGGTTGAGTTCAAATAAGCAAGATTTGTTACTTTTTACAAACTTTTTTAAACAGTATCAGTATGGCACGTTCATTTTTGCGCTAAAGTATATAATTTTTTCCATAGAAAGTCAACTAAAATTGCTGGCATTTAGGTTGCATTATGGAACTGTTCGACTGCACAGGCAGATTCCCTTTTCTCCTCTCTCATTGGGACGATTAAATTCATCCCGCTATCTGTACCTGATACTTCAGCTAATGTTTCAACAGGCCATAGAAGCGCAACTAATCGCACCAAATCCACAGAGCCTTGGATAGTGGCTTTCTCAGCTAATTTATTCTCAACTCTCCTTATGATGCCTGATTACCCAAGCCAAGGCATCCTATTCCATTTCAAATCAGCCATTCATGAATTCACCCAATTCCCACTACCCGATGAAACTGCAGCTAAGTTCAACATTTACCTCAACGCTCTCAAGACACTAGCTGCGTTTGCTCAGTCAAAATGGACTCTGAAGGTCCCATACGTTGACAATAACGGGGACCTATATGGGTACGGAGCTGATAAGAAATACCAGTCAGAGATGAACAAAATCAGTCGACATCTGATTACAGAGCTGAACAAAGAAATCAACACAAATCCAACACTTACCGTTCCGTTAGTGACTGATTACATAAGAAGCTTGCTCTACTGCTGTCCGTGTAGCGCATCGCATGTTGTGATTACCTGTGAGAGATATATCCCAAAATTGGTGCTAAGAAGTTCTTTCAAGGAAAAGCAAATGCTGCGCAGTTTGCTAACTTATGCGCGTAAGGAGTTAAAAAGCGAAGCTGCTGCAGCAAATATTGTGACACCTGAATTAGAATCGGCTATGAGCGCATATCGCAAACTGACTTCGGCTATTCCCGATGCCAAGTAATTTATATACAAGATTTGCTATAAATCCGATATTTATTTTTATACATTATATTTTCTATTCACGTTTTCTTATTTAATTTATCGTCAAGTTACATTTGCGCTGATTATTCAAATTTTACTCATGGGTTTAAAACATGAATTTAAATTCATCGCATACTGTGTTTCAACTCAATAGAAAAATTATAGATCAAAGTCGTGTTATCATTGCCACAAGGATCCCCCGTGACTGCATAGAACAGGATGTGGCAAATCAGATCGTAAGATTTGATTAATGAAAGATTTCAACTGAATATGAGATAGCAGCCTGTGTTATCAAATCCGTATGTAAACGTTTTTCCGGGGTAGAAGCGAATCGATTTAACTCATACTGGTAGTTTATCAGTCAGTTTGAGTTTTCGGTGCGTTTGGCAGATGCTTCTTAATGTAATAAACCAGGAGTTTTCCCTGCTGGGTTCTTTGAAAATTAAGACACGGATTGATTTCGTTTAAATGTGAATAATCAAAATGAATTTCTGGAATTTCCGTGTAAGAACACCAAAATATTAAATGAAAGTGAACGGATTTTCTGACGTTAGGAACGATTTTCTGAAGTGAATGGATTTTTCACTTATTAAGGCAAATTTGAGTGAATTACGCTCCACAATAAGAAAAGAACCAATCGCGCCAAAAACTTAAACTACTTTTTGTTTCAAAAGTGACATTAGGTTTTCAGAATTCCCAGTGGAATAAAAAAATATTCTCATTTGATTGGTTGCATAGCCTTTGAGGAAAAAGTTTGTTCACAAATTTCATCAATTTTTTTTAATTAACAAGTCAAGTTTCTGCTACTAATATGCCCGTTCATCAGAGAACGCAGCATGCTTGGAGCACAAAGATCCGTTGTTCGAATGTGGCAAGAAGCCTTATTTCTAGAAATTCAAATAATTTTGTCGTGCTATCGGTTGTTTGATGATTTTTTTGTCAGTTACGTTTTAAAAGCATGGGTACTTATTTGATTTAAGCAAGCCATACTAGTTTTTTGATCTGTTCCTGCAATGGCATGGGTAATTGAATTCCAAAAAAGTAAGCCCAAATTTTTTTATCAAAATTTTTGTTCGTGTAGTTCTTAGTCACAAAAGCGCAATCAATCAAGCTTTATTTCCGTAACAATCTGAATTATGTTTTTGTCTGCTTGTAAAATTTGTCCTTTTTTGCAAATGGTTCTATCGCCAGTGTTTTATTTGAGAAAAGAGTTCTAATGATTGTAAAGTGAATAAAAATATTGATTGATTGTGGTTAGTATTGAAAAAGATTAAGAAATTTGTTGAAAAAACGAAGGTATTGCGGTTGTTCAAATACTCATTTTTAAGAGTCGATGAGCTTAGTTCATTCTCTTATATAAGTCGTGATGATTTTTTGTCCTTAATTGTTCAGGAAAAGTCTTAACGTTTGTTCAGGTACATTTTTTTTCGCGGTTTGAATTTTCAGTTCATTTCCTCTGTCAAAAGGAGCGCAAACTCCTCTATCAAACAGCAATATTGTAAAGGTCACGAAATACGTGTTCGGATTCTAGTTTCGAACGTGGAATGAATTTAATCTTCAGATTTCCTTGCGAAATGTAATATTAAAATTTACTTATTGATCCAATTTTCTCAAAATGGGTTTGTTATATTTAACAAGTGTCAATGATGAGTTATTGTAGAAATGTTTGATTCGAAGTTCGGAAATTGATTTTTTAAGAGTAATGAACGAAGGTATATATGTCATGGTGATTTTTTTAAAAAATTTCAGGAAAAACTTTTAAAATATTAATGCACTTAGGTATAATGCACTTTTTGAGTTCAATTGAAGTTCATCTGCTGAAAGTGACGTAAATAGAACTCTCCAAATACGAACGTGGAAATGGTGCGAAAAGTTGGGAAATCCTAAAAATTGGGAAATCCTAAAAGTTGGGAAATACGAAAATCCGAAAAGTTGGGAAATCTTAAAAATAAATTTCACTTTCGAAACGATTTCTAGTTTCGAAAGTGGAATTTATTTTTAGGATTTCCCAGCGAAATAAAAACTTTACCTATTGATTTTTTTCTCAAGTTGGGTTCGTGTTATCAAAAAAACGCCAATCATAAATTGTTTTAAAAATTCAAAGAGCTTAGAAAGGCATCTATTTTTTTCGTTGAAGTTCGAAAGTTGATACTTTTCAAGAAAGTCAGTGTTTTTTTTAATTTTCACTTGCATTCATTACTGTTTTTTTGTTAGAAAATCGAAAGTTAAAAAAACAAGTCAATCTTGTTTCTGTTTCTTTGCGTTTGTTTCTTTTTCCCTGCATTCGTTGACTCTTACTTTTTTTAAATATTGTTTCACATGGGTTTTTTTGTATCGCGAGTGGTGAGAAGCTTCTTTTTTGCGTAACAATTTTTAATCGTAAAAGATTCAAGAAACTCAAAGAACTTTGGTTATTATTTTTTTCCGGAATCCGAAAGTTCTTTTGTTTTGATTTCTTTGACACTTTTCCAATTTTCTATTGGCTGTTTGCATTTTTTTAAATGTGTATTGAAGCTGAAAACGAGCCCTGATGATCCATATAGAAGTTAAGTTCCGATGTGTTTTTGGTACATAACACGAGTCATTGATGTCATAATTTTATTGGTTTGTACGTTTTTGTACCAGTTGAAACGCAAATGATGTAACCGTAGTTTCTACGTTTTTATATTTTAGTTTCTACGTTTTTTTTAGTTTGTAATTCTCGTTTTGAAAATCTCAAATACTTCTCGTTTTTAAATATGAGATTTCAATAATTGAAATATAATTTACCTCGATAAGCTCTCAACTCTATGGTAGAGGATGTCGGTAATATAATTAAGAGGTTATAGTTTTGGCTTCTAAATATTACTTCTCGAACTTTTTTAATTGCCGAAATTTGACTTTTTTTAAATTATTTTTCAAAAAAATTCAAAACTGCACAAAAATTGCAGCTTTCAATTCAGTGAAAATTGCAGTGAGTTTTTACCAGGATATTTCCAGGATTGGAAACTGGCTGCTCATTATTGGTTCCGAGATATGGCAATTTTCATAATTTTTGATTTTTTAACAATTCTCAAAATATGGAATTTAAGAATTTGAAAGTCTGTAGTTTTGCAGAAACGACTTTTTGAATTCATATTTTCCAGTTTTTATGGCTATAACGAACTATTTGCGGTGATTAGATTCGCAGAGGATCTATCAAAGGCTTTCAAAGCCTGTCTAAGGATATCCGTTCTCTTATTTCTCCACTTTCTTTGTCTTCTTTAGAGTTTATCTTGCTGAGCTCTTTTTTTCTACATCAATTCCGTTTTTTTTTTGCGTCCAGAATTTTTACGTGGTGCTTTTTTGCAGCCAAAATTAGCCAGGTTAAGGTAGGCTTGAAGCTATAGTTCAGATGAGAGCGCATCCTCACACGCTATCATTGCCATGACAGGGGGTTCGAACTCTCAATCTGACGTTTTCAAAGCCTCATTTCATTTTATCTATACTTATGTTCAACTTGTACCGACTGTTTGTCACAATTTTTCAAGTTTGACTGTTTTTTTTCCTGTCATTGCAGTTCAAAATGATTCGTGTTTTTTGCCCTAATTTTAATTGTCCAATTTGCCCATTTTTGATTGTTTTGGCTCTATTTTACTCATCTCATGCGTTCTCAACTGGTAGATGGCTGAACTTTTGATTTCTTTCAAATAGTTTAAAGTCTGATTTATTTGGATAGTTTTTACGCTTGCGATTAACAAGCATTATCAAACCTGGATATTAACTTTTTTTTCGGATTAACAACTTGTTTAACAGAATCACTTAAATCACTTGTATCTTGGTTCATAATAAATTCAAAATTCTATGCGTTCCCGGCCAAAGTAGCCTAGAGGTAGCGAATATGCCTGGGATGGTAAAAGTTCGAATCTGGCAAGGACCTGTTTTTTTTTCAAGCGGGAAATATTCTATTTCAAATTAAATTGTCGGCGAATTATTTGTGTAGTAATCTGTTTAAGGCTTAGTTGTCACATCTCGAAATCGTTTCTTTTTGCTGCGAGCATTTTTCTTTCATGTTGTTTTTAGTGTTTGTTTTACTCCTACAGTTGTTTTACTTACCTTGACTTCGTATTTCTCTTTTTTGTTTCTAAAAAAAGCTCCGCGGCCCGAAATTGTTTCGGTCTCTCTTTTATTGGCTTAATCACTCAATTTTGGGTCGTTTCAAGGGAAACACAATTTTAACGCTCCCACATCGCTTTTTTCAAGTCGATTGTATGTGTACCAATGGGTTTGAAAAATTTTTAGTTTTTGAAAGACCGCCTACTCCCATACACTTACCCTCTCAAATATGGGTTTGTGGTTTCAATGAATAGAACGGTTTTAAGCTCCCTGCATAAACGGGCACGCAAAATTTTTTTACATAAAGTTATGGCCCTCGGAATGGGCAGGTTTTTGATTTTTGACCGTTTTAAATTTTTTTTGAATATCTTAGATTTTGGGTTCAATTCAAGGAACGGGTTGCGCTCGGCTCGTATGTTTATGCGACTACTCCCAAATTTTTCTGATACCAAAAGTTATGGCCCTCGGATTGTTTAGGTTCAATCAAAATTACAGGTTGCGCGAATCTCACCTGCATAAGTGGCTATGCCCTATTTCTTCACACAAAAAGCTATGATTCTCAGAAATGTCAAATTTTTTATTTATAGACCGTTTCTTGTACGTTTCTCGCTAACAATCTGGCCAAATCTGATATCAAGGGTTTATTTAAATTACGAAACAATTATTTTCGTGCTAATTCTCAGGTTGTGTTTTATGGAGAAATCCGGTTTTCATAATTTTCTCTGTTTAGGTGACCACAACTTTCATTTTGCAGAAAAAAGTTATGAATTTTGGAAAGACTGGCCGTTTTTTAGAATTTTTGACCGTTTTTTGGAAATTTTGAATTTTCTTCAAATTTTCACAATCAAATCTGAGATGAAAACTGCAATTGTGAGAAACGGTTGTGATAATTGTTTCTGCGGAAACGGCGACTGTTAAATTTTTCTGTAAGAGAAAGGTTATTTTCTTGGGTAAATTGATTATCTCAAAATTTTTTACTCTTGCTCATTTCAGTAGAGAAACAACTAAGGCTTTGGCCAAAGTACAGTTTTTGAAATCACATTTTTTGTGCGGCATCAGTATAGGAATTTCATTCAATATCATAAACGTACCTTCAGCTTTAGCTGGGGCCCCGATTGTTTTTTATTGAGAGACATACGAAAAATTTGGTTCACGTATTTTTTTTCATGTTTGTGTTGTATCGAAAGTGGTGCGAAGCTCCGGGTCGCCTCTGTGTATGGTTTTTTCTTTAAAAATGCTACCATTGTTTTTCAAAGAAACGATGGAATATTGCGAAGATTAGCTATTACATTTTCTAAGATGGTGTAAAAGGTAGGAAGTTGAAGTGAAAGTAGTGGTTCCTATGCAAGTATCACAGAATGTTCAGACCACAAAAAGCTTTGTAAAACAAAAGAAAATCATCATGTTGAGAAATATTATTATGTTACCCTTGAGCAACATCAACTGAGCAACATAAACCCTTGAGCAACATCAACTGGGTCTGAGTTGAGCTTGTGCAAGATTGGTCTGAATAGGAAAACTGTTATACCCGTTTTTCTCGACGCTTAGGGGACTTAAAGGAAAACTGTTATACCGGTTTTGTTCCACGCTGAGGGAACTTATTGAAGCTATCCTTTGGGAGTCTATATTTTGACTGAAAGTGACATTCTAGTCATTTGCGCTACAATTTTATGGATTTTTATTACTTTCTTTCTTTCTTTTTTCATTTTAAGAAAGGGTATTGCAATCTAATAGTAGACTTTTCACCCGTAAACAACCTTGTTCACAGGACGACTAAAATTTGGTCATCTGCTTTTTTTCCTACCCAAGTTGCGCGTCTAACAGGTGTAGTTCAACAACTGGTTTAGAGCTGCTGAAGTGATTCTTGTTTTACAGCTGAAAAACTTCGCCCCAAGTATTGTCGGCTTTCTTGCCGGGTGTTATGTTTCTGTCTTTTTCGAAAATTTTTATGAATGTTTTTGTTTCATCAATTTCATGAGGGAAAATGTACTTCATACTTTTCGTATTTTTATACGTGCTAAACTTTTCTGTTAGAAAAAAAGTTTTTTTTTTCAAATTTTCTGTTAGACATTTTTTTGTGTTAAATTTTAAGTTTTTTTTTGTTCCTAAAGTGTAAAGAACGGGTTCAAGTTTTAAGTTATTCAGTGTATTTTAGATTCGATCAATTTCATTTAGCATCGTTTCAAGTTGATGGTTTAGCCTTTTGTTTTAATTTATTTTTTTTAACTTTCGATTTTTTTTGCTAATTTGACTCAACTGTTTTGTATACAACGGAATCGGGTGGCAATTGTTGCACGGGACCCAGGAGTGTGGAGTATGGCTCACAAAATAAAAGACTCGTGTTTTAATTTCCCTTACCGGCGTCTTTTTTAATGTAGTTTTTTTTGAGATCCAGCTAGCTCTCTTACCGTTGTAGTTGGTTGATTTTTTAGGCTTGCATTGTTTTTGAGATTTTTCGCAAGTTATTTTTTTTGGGGCAATTGTTTGTAATTCTTACATTCATTTTTCTGATTTTGTTTTTTAATTTTTTTTTTGATCTTATACGATAGCAAATAGCGTATAGGTGTTTTTTTATCCCCGATTGTTCCAGTTGGATATTCAGGTTGTTTGGTTGCAAAATTTAATGAACAGTTTTTGGGTACATATAGAAATTTTTGCATTTTAATTTTTTTGACCAAAATTTATTTTTTCGTTTCCATCTATTGGTGATGAGAAAGAAATGGATAGAGATAAGCCCGAATCCTTCTTTTGTTTCAGCTAATTGATTTCTATAATAATTGAAGTTAGATTTTTCTTGATTTCTTGAAGTGGTGCGAAGCTCAGCTTTGCCTGTGTTCATTTTTTTTAATTGAAGGCTTTTTGCTAAGGTGTTTTTGGCTTCGTTAGCGGTTGGTAATTATAACTTCAAATCCAATCAACCCTCCGGCGGATCTAGCGTAGAGGTAACACAACTGCTTGAGATGGCTAATGCCTCTGGTTGCAATCTGGCCGGCACCTTTTTTACGCAAATTAGAGTTTTAGTGCTTTTTCAGACTATCGTCCATCTGTTTATTTTTGTCGGTTTAGTTCACATAGCCCGACTTTTTAGTTCACATTCAGCTTTCTTACAAGTTGCTTTAACGCCGATACTCGAGACTACAAAGCCCGGGAGTTTGATTGCAGTCGAGACTTGATTTTTTTGCACTGAACAATTTTGGCTAATCTAAATTATTGTCTCTCTGCATATTTTTGTCGGCTTAGTTCCGCAGAAAGGACTGGTTTGAAATTTGGCTGCTTTCTAGCATTGGAATAGTTGCTTGTAAAGTTTATAATACTGCATGTAAAATTCCGTATATTTTGGGCTTATGTTGTATTTCTTGTTAAAAAAACTATTTTTTGAAGTTTTTTTTTCTTCAATTTTTTCCGTTTCATTTTACATGCATTTTACATGCTTCGCATCTGTGTCATTGTTAGCTCACGGCACTGAGCTATCAATGTGTCGTGCATTTGAAATTAAACAATTTAATTATTGCAAAACTTAGTAAAGTTTTGAACAATTGTTGACTTATTGAAACAAATTTTATTCGGATTTTGAAACAAATACAGCATATTGTCGTTTCATAAGAGTCAATTAACGTTTTCCAGGTTCTTATAAAGGTCGTGTTGATGTTTTTTTTTTTCAGGAAAGTTCTCTTTTGTTCAGGCTCAAATTTACTTTTTCGCTGTTTGACTTTGATTTTTTCAGTTCAGTTCATTTCCTTTGTTAAAAGGAAGGCGGAATATCCAACATCAGCAAAATTGTAAGTCACCAACAATTTGATTGAATTCTAGTTTTGAACGTGGACTTTAATTTTCAGATTCCCCAGCGAAATAAAAAAAATACTTATTGACCTAGTTTTCTAATATTGGGTTAACTTTATCAGATAAGTGTCAAAAATAAGTGAAATTCGAAAGTTGTAATTTTTCTTTTGGTAATTCTAAAGTTAGTCTAATTCAGTTTTTTTAGCGTTCATTGACTCTTTCCAAATGTCTGTTGGTTATTTTTTTCTTGGAACACTAACAATTTTGTCTAGCATGGGTGCAAAGCTCTTTTTTCTTTCTCGTAGAATTCCCAGTGGAACAGATAATGCTCGTTGTCAAATTGGGTTATGTGTTTCTGAGAGCTTTTTTTTAGTTCTGAAAGGGATTTAGAGCTTTGTTCAAATTAAGTCTGCTACAGTAGCTCACGGCTTAAAAAAGGAAGCCTGTTTTTTTTCCGGTTACATTATCTACCGGGCTGAGCTGTGCGTGCCTTCGTGAAATTTTTAAATATATTTCTCATACTGTAAGTCCTTAATTCCACATTTTACAAATCAATACACTCATGAGAATTGTTTCTTGAGTTCGATAATATTCTATTTCCATTTCTAGTAATGGACAATGACCATCATCTAGGATGTCAAGCATATCACACGAGAACCTACGATACGAATGAATGTTCATCGGCTGGACTCCCGCTGACTCCGTGCTCTATACGAATTCATGGACGGTTCCAAAGACTCATCAAATTGCGTCATCCTCGATTATGTAACTACATTGATTGTTCACGGTCGGGTAACGAAGACGTACTTTTTGTTTTGGAACATGGAAAGAACTGGCTTAAGCCAGATAAATTTGATTCCAGTGATGTTTTGAAACACTCTTATCAGATCTTGCAAGGCCTGGATTACCTGCATAGTCAAAAAATTCCTCATCACTGTCTTGACTGGAACTGTCTCAATATTTCAAGTAGTGGTGATGTTAAATTAGCAAATTATGCGATACATTATGCCTCGCTTGGTGGAGTGATGGTTTCTGCTCCAATAGACGTACCAAGATTCCTTCCTCCGGAAACCGTCATGAGCCATAGTATGGCCCATGAAGCACCAATTCCTGAATCAGACCTAGAGTGGAGCGGATCTGACCACTCGTATGATGTTTGGACATTTGGCCTTCTGTTACTCGAAATGACTTTTAAGGTGCGTCTTTGGGAGTTTTTAAGCTTGAAGCAAATATTTTCGAAATTGATACTCCTTTTCGACGCGGACTCAGACGACGAAGCGTTACTTGATGACATCTTGAGGAGCAACAAGATCGACGAAGCCTTTGCAAAATTTGATCCAGTCGTACAAAATGTTGTGCGAAATTGTCTAAAGCGTAATCCAGCAAATCGTTCAACATGCAAAGAATTGATGACGCTCTATCCGGAGTCTCTGAGAATCAAGCTATTATTAACTGGATATAATGTGCATGATAACAAAGTTGCTCTGTTTGAAGAATTTCGCCAACCAGTTGTTGAGATTTCAAAACTGCCTTTAAAACCACTAACGACCGAAAGTTTCATTTATACTCGTCATTCAGATGAAATATTCCATTTATGGAAACTAGCAGGTGGGAATCTGGCAAAGGAGATGCAGAAACAAGGTCTACTGAAACAGATCTTCCAGATATGCAGGTTCCCAAACTGTATATCAAATGACGGTGTCTATCTTGGCAACGAGTTCTCGAGAATTTTAAAGGCGAATGACCGAATCATAGAGTTGAGTATCGAATCTTTACAAAGTAAATTATCATCGGTGTCTATGGATACATTTTTCCCTTTGCTGTGCTTCTCGAGCCAATCAGTTATAGCAGCGGGCGGTGATTTCGGGATGCGATGCTTAGGATCGAACATCAAAGAAGTCGACGTTGAGTATCAACTAAAAAGACTTGTAATGTTCCACAGGTTGATTAGAGCGTTTCCTGTAACGAAAAAACTTCTGTACAAGGAGGCTTTTACGGATATTCCTGCCTATTACAGAAACTTTATATGGGCTGCGCTTTTGCATGTTAACTGTAGTGCTACATATATGATGAAAGTTAACTCGATGTTAGACAGTATCGACTTCTCCGTGGAGTTGCCAAGTGACAAGCAGATCGACGTTGACATACCAAGATGTCATCAATATCACCCCCTATTATCCTCGCCCACAGCCCACGGGGCTCTGAGAACTGTGATCCGGGCTTGGGTTATTTCGAACCCAGACCTGGTCTACTGGCAAGGCCTGGACTCATTAGCGGCCCCTTTCGTATGTCTACATTTCAACAATCCTGCTCTTGCATTTTCTTGTCTATCTCAATTTATTAAAAAGTACTTGTATAAGTTCTTCTTGGCGGATAACTCGGCGATTATTCAAGAATTTCTTGCTTGTTTCTCGCAAGTTATAGCATTCCACGATCCAGAACTATTTTACCATTTACACGAACAGAATTTCTCGCCAAATCTGTACGCTATGTCATGGTTCTTAACAGTTTTTGCTCACACCTTTCCCATGGGCAAAATCTATCATTTGTGGGATACTTTAATACTGCAAGGACCCTCTTTTCCTCTATTCATGGGTGCAGCCATTTTGGAATTGTTACGATCTCAACTGCTTGCTGTAGATTTTGATGGTGCAATTCTATTGTTTTCCGATATACCTGAAATTGAAGTAGAGTCTATTAAGACTCTTTCATTACAGCTTTCGGTGTCAACGCCCCCAAGTTGTTTATTTCGGAACTGGGTGAACCCCGATCTATATCATACACAGTTCTTGCCGAGTGACAACTTAACCCGTATACAATCTAAATGTAGCATTGATTACCCGTTATCTGAACGACAATTAGACTGGTGCCCGAGAATTCACGCACACGATGTGATCGTACTTATCAAGTTGAGAGACGAAAGCTCATCAGGAGATAATCTGATTCAAAACTCAGAAATGAAATTGTCCAAGTTTGTTATAATTGACGTGCGGTCAAAATCTGAGTTTGACAGAGGTCACTTGCCAGAAAGCGTGAACATAAATTACGGAGAAATGATGCATGAAGATGAAGTCAAGGTCATTGCGCTAATAACCGATCAAGTGAAGGTCGAGGATAACAGCTTGGTCGTAGTAATGGGTCCTTCTAATAACGTGATATTATGCAGAAACTTCACTAGTTTATTGATTAAGTCATCGTACTCTAGAGTTTGTTTTGTGCACGGAGGAGCAGACGAGTTCGCTCACACAAATTTGATGATTGTAAATTAACTGTAGTTAATAATAATTGCTGTTGTAGTGTAGTTAACTAAATTTTACAGAAAAATCTGAAAAATAATCTATCGATTCTTTACGCTTGCAATAAGCCAGCTATATCATTAGAAATTTAAAATTAATTTACTTTCAATCAAGGCTGATCTTCATTTTATCTTTAAATCGTTACAGTGGTAAATTAGCCTTTTTACGCGTTTTCAATTAACTTTCGATTTTATTTGATGTTTCAGGTTTTTTGATGGCCGGCAACGCAGCTGCTTCTGGTGACGATGGTCCAAAACTATGGGGAGGACGTTTCAAGAAACCTCTCGATAGCGAGATGGAGAAATTCAACGCTTCAATCGACTACGACAAAATCATGTGGTCAGCTGACATTGACGGAAGCATAGCATATGCCAAAGCACTCGCAAAGACATCCATCATAAGTGCAGAAGAAAGAGACAAGTTATGCCAAGGCCTGGAGCTAGTAAGAAATGAATGGAAAGGCGGAAAATTTCAGATAGTTGCTTCGGACGAAGATATTCACACTGCGAATGAGAGAAGACTAACCGAACTGGTCGGAGACGTCGGCAGAAAATTACACACGGGTCGAAGTCGAAACGACCAAGTAGCTACCGATACGAGGTTATGGTTGCGAGATCGAATACTAGCCATTTCAGCTGTCCTCAAAGAAGCTATATCTGCCTTTGTAGAGCAAGCTAAAGTGAATCAAACTGTAATGTTACCAGGGTATACGCACTTGCAAAGAGCTCAGCCAATCAGATGGTCGCATTGGTTACTATGTTATGCTTCTATGTTGAAAAGGGATTTCGAAAGGCTTCAAGAGGTGTATAAAAGAACGAATGTTTTGCCACTGGGTTCTGGAGCGTTAGCAGGACACCCCTTTGATATCGACCGAGATTTCCTGGCCATGGAATTGAACTTTGATGGTATAACTCTGAACAGTTTGGACGGAACCAGTGATCGAGATTTTGTGTCTGAGTTTCTATTCTGGAGCTCATTGACGTCGACTCATCTGAGCAGAATGGCAGAGGATTTGATAATTTACTCGACTAAGGAGTTCTCATTTGTCACTTTGGCTGATGAGTACAGCACAGGGTCTAGTTTGATGCCACAGAAGAAGAATGCGGACAGTTGTGGTAAGTCTCGAAAAATTCCTTTTCCTCCCATTTATGATGATGACTTGATATATAGTAAACAATTTGTTTTTAGCCAACTTTGAAAGTTTGGTTTTTGAACCATTCCTTCTTTTATTTGATTGTAATATTAAAGCGTGCGCTATGAAGGGTCCTCTGATTGTATTCTAAAATAAGCTAAGTGTTTCCTGCAATTTTTATACAAGAGCGCCAATTTTCTTTTATGAAAAATAATATTAAATGCATTAATAAAAATGTTTTCCAGAATTGATTCGAGGCAGAGCTGGGCGACTAACTGGACACCTCACGGGCTGGTTATGTACCCTGAAAGGACTCCCTCTTACATACAACAAAGATCTGCAAGAAGACAAGGAACCTCTGTTCGATGCCGTAGAAACCATCACAAGTCTGATCAAGATATCCTGTGGCGTGATCAAAACATTAACTGTGAACCCCGATAAGATGAAGGCGGCTCTTAGTCCAGAAATGTTAGCCACAGATATTGCTTACTATTTGGTGCGCAAAGGAGTCCCGTTCCGAGATGCGCACCATGTTTCAGGAGAGTGCGTTCAATTGGCAGAATCGAAAAATGTCGATTTGGACAAGCTGACGGTAGATGACTTTCTAGCTGTTTCAACCAAGTTTGAATCCGATATTCTGCAGATTTTTGACTACGAGAAGTCAATGGAACAATATAACGCCAAAGGAGGCACGGGTTCGAAATCGATCAAATGGCAAATCGAAGTTTTCACTGATTGGCTGAAGCAAAACTGAAACTCAAGTTCATTTTGTCGCTATTTATCATGCTATTTGTATCAATTTGACAATGCCAAAATTTGCTGTGCAATAGAATTATTGATGCGTTGCTTAAATCTATCCGTATCTCGATTTGCAACCACCACTTTTAAGGGCTCTGGAAGGTTATTTTGATTAAAATCGTAATTTCATGAGCCAGGAAGCAATTTAATTTATTCAATAGTTTATCGATTGAAGTTTCTGAAAAAAGTGTCTATCATTGTTTTGTGGGTGGCTCTGTTAGTATTTCCCATTAATTTGATGTCTTAGTCTTTAAGCACAAATTTTGATTAAACTGTATTTTACCATAGCGATAGCTTATATAGCCATTGTATACCTTGCTTTGTTTTTGAACTCTTTGTAAACTGAAGAGTATTCTGCATGTCTTGAACTTGAAATTGTATCAAAACATTGAATTTTAATATTGCGTCATTTTTTTCAAATTCTCCCTGCAACTTCAAATTAGTGTTAGTTTTCAGGGAAAAAAAGGATATTTATACCAGAAAATACTTTCCTTAACTTATTCGACAAATCAAAACATGATCGCAAAGAAATATATACTGTAAATAGAATGATTGAAGTGGTTCCTGCGAATCAGCCGTAACAGTACTGACAAGGATAGTACATTTGTATTATCTACCCACATTCCAGACTTTGAGCGAAGCTCTTTTTTGTGCGAATCAAGACCGTTTTTTGCGTCTAGAACTTTTACGTGGTACCACTATTGCAGCCGAAATTGGTCAGGCTGTGGTAGACCTGAAGCTAGAGGTCAGGTGAGAGCTCGTTTTCGCACACTATCATTGCCATGGCGTGGGATCGAATACACGATCTGACGATTTCAAAGTGAAAGCCTTACCCATATGCTAAGTGCCTCTAAGGCTGTATAATTTAACTTACAAGAGCAAGTGTCCTGTAATCAAAAACTAGTTTCTTTTGCGTAAAAATATTCTTTCAAATCTTACTTGCTTTTCTTGCTTTATTAGTGAACTCTAATAAGATATGGTCTGGGGTTCGAGTCCCAGCCGGACCTGGATTTTCAGTCTGCATCAAATTGAACGGGAAAAACAGAATTGTCGGACTTATGTATGTCTGCTTATATTTTGTCGGCTAAAGTGCTGCATCGGAGATTTTTTTTGCTGCCAGCATTTTTCATCATAGATGCAAGTGCTGTTGATTTACAGTTTTTAAATTTGAATAGCCTTGTAGTTGTATTTTTTCCTGCTTGTTTCTTTTCGCTGAAAAGCTTTATTTGTCTTATGTTTCATCGTCGTCTTAGGTTTCGGCTTATGTTTTATTCGTCTTAGGTTTCGGCTTATGTTTTATTCGTCTTAGTTTCAGCTTATGTTTCATCATCTTAGTTATTTTATTTTGTGTCGCTTCAAAAGAAAAATTTGATTAATTTTTGTATTAAAAATTTAGGTAGTTTGTATTGCAAGATTTCGAATTTTTTTTTGACAATTACTCCTCTTAGAGAACTTTTTTGTTTTTGGGGTCATTGAGCGTCTGCTTATTTGTTGCGGCCGCTGGATAAAAATTAAAATCTTTTTTAATGCTGATGGTTGTGTTATTCGACTATTTTTCTGAAATTTCATTTTTTCCCAATAATAAAACTCAGATCCTGTTATTTTCATCTCAATTTCTGTCCATCCACAATCTTGCAATACTTCGTTTCCGTTGTATAGCCAGTGATGCGAATCTCCGTTTTACCTGTGCGTACATAAATGGTTTAAGTAGTGTGGGAGTAGAAAATTTGGTATCATGTTTAATTTGCAGTCGCAATTTGTATTCCAAAGTAAAACTTCAGTTTATAAAGCTAGTTTAATGAGCCTAAAATGGGCAACAGTTTTGAAAAAATTATGATTTTTTTAAATGGGTAATTTTTATACAAAAAATGTGTAAATTAAAATATGAAGTATGAGAAAGGAATATCGGTTACGAAAAAAGCTGATGTTGACTAGTTGATCTCAAATGAGGAAACAGTAGCAGTCAATTAACGCCTCACAAATGGGATGAGGCAAAAGAGAGCACCTGATTGCTGTTGGGCAAGTAACACAAAATGCAATGACCACGGTATCTGACCCTGATTTTCTCCGGACTCCCTCTTCAAAAACACAAATCGATGAATATTAGCCGTTATCTGTTACAGAGATTGAGCAATTTGATGTATTTTTTTTTCGGTTTTTTTCCGAATTGTTTATGCGTTTTGGTCCTGATATAGGTTGAAATGGGGCTGCGGTTATTGGAGAAAAGCGAAACTAAAAAAATCTACAAAAAATTGATTATGAATTTGTCTCTCTTGCGGTAAATTGAATTTTGAGTTTGAGTGGACAAAACATAATCTACATCTCGACTCGACCAAAAGGTTTTTCTAATGGTAGCATATTCACTTTTTATGAGTAATTTTTCATGTATCAACAATCTCGTTGAAAAATCATGCTTCGGGGTTTTGAAAATACGCAATAAATAGTTCCCAATCATCAAGAGGTGGTCTTATCAATTATTTCAGGTATTTCAAAAGACAAAATTAATAAATATTGAGAGCAATATTGCAATATGTGGCAACTTTGAGTATTGCATTTTGCATGCAGAGGTGGATCTAGGATTTTCTCGAGGGCGTGGATTTTCAAAAAATTTCGAAATTTTTGTCGACCTTGTTTTTTAGGTCGACCAAATTGATTTTCCGAGCTTTCCCAAAGCACTAAAAAGACCCTATTTTGGTCAAATTTTCAGCGCCGCTGGCAAAATTTTGAAAAACAGGCCAAAAAGGCGTTTTTAGGCACTTTTTAGAAAGTTTAGACAAAAAATCGCGTTTTTTTGGCGCGCGCCCCTCGAAGTTAGTATATATGGCCGCCCAAGGCGCCTTAAGAAAATTTTTAGGGTTCATCACCAAATATGGATATCTCAAAATTGTACAAAAGAGAACCCTTTGGGTCGGCAGGCGGTCGAATCCCTGAGAAGAAGGAATCGTCTCCCCCCCCCCCCCCCCAAATCCGCCCCTGATTGCATGTATTAAGCTTGCGAAGTACATTGCATGAAATGTTCATATCATTACTTTCAGTCACTAAACTTGTACATGAGATTTTTACATGCTACTAAGATAGCTTTATAAATGCATTGGATCTACTAAATAATCTCTCCCCCTCATTTTTTTAAGAAAGGGGGTGGGAGATTGTTAAGTAGATAAAAACAGTCGAGTTTTTGACCTATCAGAATGCAGTTAAGTTGGAATTCGCAATAGAAAGCTCTGTGCTAATTTCCTGTATTTATTGATAGGGGGAAGCTGTTAAGTAGATACCATAGAAGAAGATTGTGAAGTATATCCAATGCATTTTTGTGCTAGCTGACATGTTTCACAAGAATTCAAAATTTGCGGTTCTTTTGAACAATTAGTTTGGCTTCTAAATAAATTAACACCCAATACTGTTCTAAGAACATCGAGGAGCGACCCAGCTATTTAATTTGAATCTGCCACCTTTTGTATTATATCACGAAATATTGAAATGGCTTAAAAAAAGAAAACAATGTTTGTCTTCGATGCTTGAGTTTACAATAATATCGATCTTGTAGCTAGCTTCACTTAGTCCCGTCACAAGCAGTAGCGGATTTAGGGAAATCGAAGGACGCCCCACCCCCGTCACAGGGATTCAATCCCTTGATTAAAGACATCCATTTTTGGCTGACCGACCCTGAAATTTTTCTAAAGTCGCCTTAGGTGCGAAAATATATTAGCTTTGAGAGGGGAGCGCGCGCGGAAAACGCCCAAAAACATTTGAAAGTTCAAAGAACTGTGGTCAGAAAATGTATGCTACCTGCGCAGCGACCGGCCATTTTTTTTACTTGGCAACGATGATAGCTGCAGTTAGAGCTTCTGCACCCCATGCAAAGTACCCTGTTCATTATTCCTTGTTTTTATCAAATTTAGTTCAAAATTGTGAATTTAAACTTCAAGTCAGAGGTCGCGAATTTCTGTTACTCAAAACCAGAGGAATGATATCTTCAACGCCATTTGGTGCAATTAAAAGTCTCAAGCCATTATGGATTTACCGGGATGTTTCTTGAAATTTCCTCACTGTGAGTTTAACTGGTGCAAGTTGGCAAATATTACCTGAATGACTTAGAGACGAAATCACTTGAAGACGAAAAACTGCTGGTTTTATTCTTCAAATAAATAATCAGTGATATTTGATACGAGAATCATCGAATAGTCTTGCGAAGAGGTGTGCGGATAATTTCTGATCATCTGTGTTCAGAAAGTATCCGCAAGCCCCTTTGGCTTCAGTTTTCCTTAAGGCTACAGCATCCAAATGCTTAAATCATTTGTTCGGTTTTGATAATTTCGACTTTTTGAAAGCTAGTTGATAATCGCTTTTGAATCAAGTGGATATATCGAACCGATCCAAGCTTGGAAAATACAAAATAGCAGGCAGCAAAGACTCTTTTTCGACAAATTGGAGCCTTTCAAAATGAATATTTCTTCAACTAGTACCTTTTTATAGGCTCATCACTTTCTTGGACCCGTTCTTAAAGGATTTTACTTTCAATATGACGCCATATATGCTTGCAACAAATGAAAAATTTACCATCGAAAGGAAACGTAGACTCACCATTTCACTTTTTGTGGAAACTCACTTTGAATTCAGTTGATCTCTCGGTAGATAGAGAATCTTTTCTTGTCTTGGAACAGAAATGAAACCAGCACCCACTCTTGGAGTCATTCGACTGGACTACGACTACCCTCCAGCATGTGGAGACATCGACTGTCCGGATACCTACGGGTACGATGTCTATTACAAAGTAGTCCCCGGACTCACTTTCGAAATGGCCCAGTCTGGTAAACTGACTCCCGAAGTCAAACAAAGATTCATCGAATCTGTCACTTGGCTTATCGAGGAGAAAAAAGTGAGTGTCATAACCGGAGATTGTGGATTCATGGTGTACTTCCAAGAACTGGCACTGAGCATTGACAAGGAGAAGCCAGTCTGCATGGTAATGAGCTCACTGCTCCAGCTTAAATCCATCCAAGCTACCCTTTCACCTGACGACGAGATCATTGTCATGACTGCAAATGGAGTTGCTCTTGGTGGGATGACTCAAGCTTTCGAGAAGGCCTGCGGGTTCACTTTTGTCGACCCGCGAGTCAAGATCCTCGGATGCGAGAACATCCCAGGATTCGAAGCAGTCGCTTTGGGTCAGAAGGTCGATGTCGCCAAGGTGCAACCAGGAATGGTCGCACTTGTGAACGAAACTCTGAAGAAAAACCCGAAGGTCAAGGCCATTCTTCTGGAGTGTACCGAGTTGCCGCCATACGCTAACGCAATCCGAGAGTGCTCCAATCTCCCAGTTTGGGATGTGATCTCGGCGTGTAACTATGTCATCAGTGCGTACCTGAATGAACCAAGATACGGAAAGCAGGGTTGGCAGGCTGATTGGGATCAAGTCCAGGACGAATATGTCTTCGGACAAAATGTCAAGGCTTCCAACAAAGTGTACCTCGTAAACAAACCAGCAAAGCAGTAATCTTGATAAGAAACAGAATTGACCTATGAACTCATCGCTTTGACAGATTTTTAACCGAAACTGTTATAAAGTTTTGTTCTCATATGAACTGTAAAACGTTTATTTAACTTGGTGTGGGAAAAGACTGAGGCTTGTGCACTTCTTTATCAGACATAATAATCTTTTCTGAAAAACATTCTTTACTTTACTTGGAACAACATAGCAAGAATATCCAGATTCGCTTCAATCAACAGAATGCTCCAACCACAGTTATCATTGCTAAATAATTGGAATACTTGGAATATAATTGGAAAATGATTTGGAAAAAAATTTTCGGAAAGAAATGAGAAATCTACAAAATATATATTTTCGTTAAAACAAATCAATTAACCGTTCAAATGTTACTAAGTGAAAAATTGTTCCTCGTTGAAATCAAAAGTCAGCTCCTTTCACTAATCTTGAAAGGACAAATGTTTAGACAGAACTTCATTCGGAATTTTTTATAAAAAATTACCATTGTTTTTCAAAAAGAGATCATAAATCCGCTCGTAATAATGTCCGATTCAAACATCCATGAACCTTTCAAATGGTTTTAATTGAAAAATTGTTCACACACGAAATCAGGAGTCCAATCTTTCCGCTAAAAATGAGTACGAATAGCAAAAACTGCAATACTAAGAGAACCCGTTTTGATGGTTTTTGAAACCCGATTACTGACTAATAGGAACTCAATATCATACCACTCTTGAACCCTACGAATTTTTCTTGAGGTACCTAAAATCGGGGGAAAAAAACTTACGCCTGAAATCTTTCCAGCAAATTTCAGTTACGTGGTCGCAACAATAGCAAACAGTTTCAGTTCGTTTATCAATGTTATATAGCTAAACTAATCGGTCGGTCAAATCAAGGAACTATAAAATCAAGGCGGCAGTTTGAAAATTGGACATAGATGACTTTTATAGACGAAACAATTTCTGATGAAATAAGCAAACTGAATTTCCAATCATAATAACAAATCAGTTTTTTATTCAGTTTTGTCGGTGAAACTGGAGCTCTTTGTCTTTCGGTTTAGTGTTCCTTTCTTGTCTTTGATTTAGTTCCGCTCTGAAATGATTTCCAAATCTAGATGCTAGTAATAGGTCCGCTGTCGGTCCACATATATTTTCCCTGCGGTGGGTTATAAATCTCTCAATTGTCATGACGAAGCTGCCGGTGTCCATCAGTTTCGATGTGCACTGACTGCGCGTGTTGTAAGGCACGAGCAGTAGCGTGCCGAGAGGAAGGGCGCTGGGTGCGACCGCTCCCCCCACCCCCCTCAACTCTGGTTGCTAAATTTTTCCGAAGGGTCCCCCTTTGGTATAATTTTACGAGATCCATTTTGGTTGAATATCATCGAACATTTTCTAAAGATGCCTTCGGCTCCAATAGAACTAATTTTGAGGGGGGAAAACGCGCGCCAAAAAACGCAATTTTTTGGTCAAATTTTTAATAAAAGTGCTCAAACATCATTTTTAGCCTGTTTTTTTTTCAAACATTTTGACAAAACGGTCTGTATAGTATTTTTGGAGAGATTGGAAAATCAAGTTGATCAACCTAAAAAAAAAGATCCACAAAATTTCAATTTTTTTTTCCGAAATCCTAAACTTTTAGCGGGCAGTTCTGACATCATCGGATGGTTTCTGTCTGCTTCTTGTTTTGTGCAAACTTGATAAGTTTTTCATTTGATCAAAGTGCTGAGGTCCCAGGACCTACGAATTTTTTCAGTTCTTCCCGAGTCAACATAGATTTCTTGAATCAAGTTCTTGACTTTTTTTCAAAAGTTGCATTTATAGAACTACCCAAAATTTTGGTACGCTTAACTGAAAATTCCTTGAAAAATTAATCTTTGTGATATTTTCTATAAAAACACTGATTAGTTGTTTGTCGTTCTTTCTCATATTTCCAATCTCAAAATTGTTCTTTTTATTTTCTGAGTAGTTTGTTTTTGATTTTTTTAAACTTTTTTGTTTTCTCAAGTAGTTTGTTTCGAACCCATAGGTCAGTTTTTTTGGATAGAGGTACAGGTCAGAGGGGCTAAACCATATGTTCAGCTGTCTGGTTATTTTTAACGCTTTCAATAAAAACTAGTTGCGTGCGTTGTTCCGAGCCTTTGTAAAGAAACAGGGGTCAAAGAGCTGGCCAAGGAACTGCTATAAATTTAAGCAAAAGTTTCCGAAAAAAATGTCAAGAAATGTTTTGTATGAAAAACACTGAATGGTTGTTTGGTTTAGTTTCTCATGCTTCCAATCTTTGAATTGTTCTCTTCAGTCTCTGAGTTGTTTTAATTCTGCCTTATACTATCTCTCTTTAGTTTTTCGGACACTTTTTTAGAACTCATGTGGCAGTTTTAATGGCTATGTAATCAGGTCAGAGGGCTAAGCCATAGGATCAGCCGTCTGGTCTTTTTTGTGTTTCTTTTAATTTTTTAAAACATGCCTATATTCTGCGGTATTTTGGGCCCATTCAGAGAAATACAGAGCTAAGAGCTGGCCAAGGAACACTTTAAATTTTTCGGAAAATTTTGAGGAAAAAAAACAATCTTTGTGGTATTTTCTATGAAAAACACTGTATGGTTGTTTGGTTTAGTTTCTCATGTTCCCTTTCCTCATTTTGTTTTCTTCAGTTTCTGAATTGTTTTGATTTTGCTTTTTACTATCTCATTTTAGTTTTCTTGAGTAATTTTTAGAACACACGTGGCAGTTTTTATGGCTATAAGAACAAGTCAGCGGGCTGAGCCATACGATCAGCTGTCTGGTCCTTTTTTTTGTTTACAAACACGCCAATGTGTCTGGAATTTTGCGCTTTTTTTATACAACACAGAGCTGAGAGCTGGCCTATGAACACTTGTAATTCTTAGAAAATTTTAGTTGATCAGCAATTACCTGTTCTGCTGCTGAAACTAATAGTTTTTTGAAATTATTGAATTTAAAAAAAACTGTAAAAATGTATCGGTTTTTCGTGCATCTAGGTAATCACAAGTTTTTTTTGAAGTTCAGAGCTTAGATCTAATCAAAAGACGCTTGTAGATTCATAACCTTTCTCTTTTTAAACTTTTTTTTTCGAGAAAACTCAAAAATAAATAAATTCAGGCGTTTTTTTTTCTTAATAATGAAAACTTTTGTGAGAGCAGCTACGCATTTTTGATTTTAGTGGGAAAGTTGAAAAAGTTGAACTTGATTTTTTTAGACAATCTTTAAATAATTTTGAAACGTAAGCATTGATTCTGTCGAAATTCGTTTTTTAAAATCAGGAAACCGGAAAAAGTTGTTCTACTTAGAAAAGCAATTAAAGACTTGTTGTTTTTTTGAAGACTCAAAATGATGTTTTTCGGATGGTATGTTTTTTTCTTAAAATTGTGAGCAAAACATAAAAAAAAACGTTTTCCCAGCATATTTCAGGCTTGATACTAACATTTTTTGGCCAAATGACCAGATAAAAAAACTTAAGAAAAAAACAAAAATTTTAATTTTTTTTTCAGATTCCAAACAGTTAACAAGCGCAGGCAAGAAGACAGACTTTCGAAAAAAAGCAACACAATTTTGATTTGTGAGTTCAGCGATATGTTTCTACTTGGTAAAGGTGTGGTCAAAAAACGACCTTTCGGACGTTTTTCAAAAAAAAATTAATTGATAAGAAACCGTTAACAGTCTCCTTTAATTTTTTGTTTACTGTAGCTGAGTATTTATTTTGGCGAGTGAACCAAAAAACAAGGTCGAAAATTAATTTGCACCTTTTTGACTTGGATTCATTTGAACTAAAAGTTTTCCTTTTCGATGTTTGGAGCACTTTTCTAATTTTCAGTTCGATTTTTCAGCAGATTATGAAATTGAGGATCATCGCTAGAGAAGAAAAAAATTGCAAAAAGGGTTAGTTAGGAGGTATAATTTTTTTGTTCTGGGCCAAAAGACCTAGTGCCCATTTCTGACCTGATCAGTTTTTTTTGAGCAAAATTTCTCTTTTTCTACAGAATCATACTCTAAAAGTTTTATATCTTTGGATGCAAAGTTTCAGAAGGTTATTTTTTTTAAAACACAACATTTTTCTTAGACGCCAAAAAGTCCCTGGCACTTTTTTAGTTTTCAAATGTTGACTTTTGAGCAAAAACTTTCTGGGCAAAAAGAGCATTATCTTAGCAAACTGTAGCTGAGTATTTATTTTGGCGAGTGAACCAAAAAACAAGGTCGAAAGTTAATTTGCACCTTTTTGACTTGGATTCATTTGAACTAAAAGTTTTCCTGTTCGATGTTTGGAGCACTTTTGTAATTTTCAGCTCAATTTTTCAGCAGAGTATGAAATTGAGGATCATCGCTAGAGAAGAAAAAAATTGCAAAAAGGGTTAGTTAGGAGATATATATTTTTTTGTTCTGGGCCAAAAGACCTAGTGCACATTTCTGACCTGATCAGTTTTTTTGAGCAAAATTTCTCTTTTTCTACAGAATCATACTCTAAAAAATTTATATCTTTGGATGCAAAGTTTCAGAAGGTTATTTTTTTTAAAACACAACATTTTTCTTAGACGCCAAAAAGTCCCTGGCACTTTTTTGGTTTTCAAATGTTGACTTCTGAGCAAAAACTCTCTGTGCAAAAAGAGCATTATCTTAGCAAACTAAACGCATATACAATTTCCATTATTCAGTTTCAGGTTAAAAAAAGTAAAGGTTTTTTTCTAGTATGTTAAGTTTTTTTAATTAAATGACCAGCAACGTACCTCTAGCCGCCCTATACTTGACAGAGTCTCAAAATTTTAATTTCAGTCAAACAAGTTTAGTATCCCTGGAATATTGAAACAAATTTTTTGTCAAAAAGCTAAACAGAACCTTGAAGCTGAAAAATGGATTTTTCGAGCTTTTTGAAATTAAAAAAAAAACCTTTTTTTCAAAAAATCATTCTTTTTTGTTATTTTTCCATGCCAAATTGTTCCATTACTAGCACAATCAAAGAACAAAAGACTTGACGAGCTTTAATTGGCTGCAAACATGGCA